TTAGGCACTAGTTTAAGTCTAGACTTATAGAATATAGAATATATCCTTATTATTAGTAGTAGTCTTAGCCTAAAGTTAATAGGTCTAAGTTATTTATTAATTTTAAACAGTTCTACTTATAAGTAGTTAAGCTTTTTACTAGATTATTTAGTACGTAAGTTTTTTTATAGAATAAAAACTTTACTTCTCTTCTTAAAGGTTAGTCTCTTAATTCTTTTTTTATTAGCTTGTTAAGTTATTTTTTCTACTATTTTTTATAGTTTATTATAGATTATTTTTATTTAGCATTTCTTCTTCTCTATCTTTAAAGAGATTATAGCTATATATATTATAAATCTATACATTCTAGCCTTATAGCTATAATATACTTAATAGAAAGTTCTCTCTATAGTTTCTTACTTTACTATATTATATACTAACTATACTATAAATAGTAGCTTAACCTAGTTATTTTATTCTTAGTTAACATAGTTTCTTAGGTATTCTTCTAGAGTTTAGTTTATCTATTCTATTTAGCTATTAGTCTATAGGTAAAAGCTAGTTAATATTTAATTACTTATTCCTATCTAGTTAAGTAGCGCGTTCTAAAACTTAGACATAAATAATTTATCTCTATCTATAGTAACTTATTCTAGTATCTTATATTAGCTAAATAGTTATTAGCTTACCTTATAAGCTAGTTCTTTAGCCTTAAGAGTTTTACTAGTTATATAAAAGTATACGTATTTAGTAAATTAGTCTATAATTACTAAAATAGTATTATACTTTCTTTATAACATAAGTTTAATTAATCTAGGTAGCTTTATAATAAAGTCTATAGTAACATATTACTATAGTACTATAGATAGTTCTAGTAGTTATAGTAGTCTATATAGCTAATACCTAACTACTTTATTCTATTAGTACTCTATATACTCTTATATTACTCTTATAACTTTCTTTTTTATTATAAAAAGCCTATATTCTTACTATAGCCTTTTAAGAGTACGTTCTATTCTCTAGTATTTATACGTTATAGTACTATAAAATTTCTAGATAAATTCTATTTATAGTACCTCTAGTACCTCTTATTTTCTCTATTTATTAGGTAGCTCTAGCCTATTATTCTACTAGTTCTAGATTTCTATAACCTAGCTAACTTATAGACTATTATATTCTAGAGTTCTATCTAGTCTAGCGTAGAGTATAGCCTTATATTTCTCTTTTACTACTACTATATAGTTAGCTCTCTAGCTAAGCACGTCTACTACTCTATTTTTAGTACTCTTCTAGTATTAGATAGTAAAGTCTAGCGTAGCTAGCGCTTCTACCTACCTAACTTATTATCTATTTAGCATTTTTATTATTATAAACGCTATAAGATTCTTATAGTCTAATATTATATTAATAGAATACTTAGCGCTCTCTAAGTATATTCTCTATTCTTTTATTACTACTATAATAGCTATAAGTTTCTTATTATATATATTATAGTTAAGTTCTAGTACTAAGAACTTTCTTAAGTAGAAGAAGTATAGCTAGTATTTACTATCTTCTCTAGGTTAGCTAAGGTATACTTCTAGAGCTCTATCTAATATATTTATTTCTACTTATATTAGTTTATTTTTATTAAACATTTATAGTAGTAGTATAGTAGTAAACATTTACTTTAGCGTCTTAAACACTTATTATTATAAATCTTCCTACTTAAACTCTTAGTTCTTTTTAGTAATCTTTATAAGTAGAGTAGTAATCTATAAATACTCTTAGATAAACTTTTAGTAGTAGTTTATAAATTCTAAGAAGAATTATACTTCTTTTACTATCTAGAGTATAGGCTAGTCTAGAATTACCTAGACCTTATCTATTTCTATCTAGATTCTCTTCTAAGTTAGATAAAATTCTAAGTAGCTAGTTTCTATATAGTAGAACTTACTTTTATTAGAAGCTATTAGAAGCTTATACTCTTTAAGCTTCTATAGTATTCTTTACACGTAGTTCTTATATTCTTCTAATTCTCTCTTTAAGTATATAAGTACATTATCTAGGTAGACTATAGTAAACCTTTCTAGATATTTATATAGAGCTACGTTAATTATACTTTAGAATATTACTAGTACGTTAGTAAGTCTAAATAGTATAACTAGATATTTATATAAACCTTCTCTTATTCTAAAGACTATTTTCTATTTATAGCCTTTCTTAATTTATATTTAGTAGTATCTCTCTTAGATATTAAACTTTATAAACTACTATACTTCTATAAGCTAGTCTATAAGTTCTAAGATTATAGGTAATAGATATTAGTTCTTTTAAGTTACTTAGTTAAGCTATTAGTAGTTAATATATAACCTTAACTATCTATTCTTTTTTAGTATAAATAGTACTAGTAAGGCTATTAGACTCTAGCTTTCTTAAATATATCCCTTTTATAGAAGTCTCTTTAGATATCTTTAAAGTTTCTCTCTTTACTTATAGCTAAGTAGGTATATTAGCTCTAGTTTTAGCGTAGCTTTATCTTCTATAAGTATCTTATAGTTCTATAGTTTATATTTAGATAGAACGCTATTATTCTATCTATTAAATAATAACGCAAACTTCTTATAGTCTTTCTTAACCTTCTAAGGTAGTTACTCTATATTAGATTATAGCTTTCTTATCTATATAACGCTAACATCTTAAGGTTATTTTTTTACCTATTTTGTTAAACTTATAAATAATATTCTTCTAATCTTTACCTCTAGCTTTTAGTAAGCTCTTAGGTAGTATTTTACTTCTACCTTCTATACTACTTTAGGTCTTCCTTAGAGCTTTAACCTAATCTAACTAATATTAGAGTTATATCTCTATAACTAGTCTAGCTCTAGAAGTACGTCTATATTTTCTAGTTCTATAATATTATAGAATTACTATTCCTATATTCTCTAGACATCTAATATCTATACCTTAGTTTCTAAGTAAATCTATTCTTAGCTAAAGATAGATAGCTAGTTATCTATAAGTTATACTTAGTAGAGTTATTATTTCTCTTAAAATAGTATATTCTATAGTTTTACTAGACTAGTAAAAATATATATTTTTACTACTCTACTATCTACATAAGCTATAAACCTCTTATTTTCTAACATAGCTTTTACGCGTAGCATTCTAGGTTTTAGAGTAATAATTTTACTAATAGTCTAAATAGAGCCTTTCTAGACTAGACCTCTGCCTTAGAAGCCTATTAGTTTTTTAACTTTAAAGAGATAATTAGTGTTAACCTCTATTTCTTTTCTACTATATATACTAGGTATCTTTCTAGTAAATATATAGTCTAGTATAGTTTTATATATTTACTTTTAGCCTTTTCTCTATAGTATAAGTATTTTTATTCTAGAAAATACTATCTATAGTTAAGCGTATAGTAATTAAGATACTAGGCCTTCTATTCTATAGTCTAGTATTATTCTTAATAGTATTAGTATTCTATAGTATACTAATTCTAAGATTTAGCGTAGTATTCTTTACTATAGACTTTCTTAACTAGTTTAGGTATTACTATTCTACTAGCTTCTTTCTTAGGCCTTAGGTTTATATACGTAGTAACCTAGATTTTCTTGTTATCTAGTCTCTAGGTACTAATAGCTACTTTAACTATAGCTTTTTCTTTCTCTCTATAAACTACTAGAAAGTAGGCCTAGTAGATATAGTTATAGCCTAGGTAGTTACTCTTATATAGCTAGTATAGCTTCTACTATAGATATACTTTAATTTTCTAATTATATAGAAATAGTCTAGAGAGTTTCTTTTCTTAGAATAACTTAGTTAAGTATACCTTATAGAAAAAGTTCTAGTACTTACCTCTTTCTACGCACCTTAGTTACTATTACTTAGCTTTTCTAGCTCTAAAGTAGTTTATAGAAAAGCCTTAGTAGATCTTCTAGATATATAAGTATACCTTCTTATCTATAAGATACTCTACTAATCTAGCTACTTTCTTAAGAGCGTCTAACGCCTTCTAGAATTCTTTATTAGTAAATAAAATATTCTAGTATACATACTAGTAGCTCTATATATTATAGAGTTCTACGTATATCTAGTACTATTATACGTTAATACGTTATTAGATAGTTTCTAGAGTAAGATATTCTATATACGTAGAATATTCTAGTATAATAGCTCTAACTCTAGTTAGGTACTATTCTAAGTTAACCTTATCTCTCTAGTATATTATATAGCTATTATTATAGTATACTATCTATATAAGGCTATTATAGTTTACTTAGATTATTCTAACTATTTTCTTTTTCTTTAGGTATTTTTACGCGAAGTGTTCTTTTTTGCTATAGACTAGGTATAGTTCTTTCTTAAAGTACTGTGCTTTTTTCTTATTTTATAGAGTTTATTTTCTCTTCTATAGAGTTTTAACCTAATCTAGGTCTATAGAGTCTCTCTAGAATATAGTCTATAGTTATCTAGTTCTAACTATTAGTAGTATAGAGTAGTCTCTACTCTATTAATATTCTAGGTTTTATTTATACTATTAGTTATTAATTTTTACTACTATCTCTATAGTATTACTTAGGTTCTTAGGTTATTTAGCGTGCGTAATATTATTCTTAACTAACTTCTTTAGCCTCTTATAGAAGAGTTCTGCTAGCGCGAAGTTATTCTAGTCTAGGTAAGCGCTTAGCTACCTAAACGTTACTACGTACTAGAATGCTAATCTAGTTTACTATAGCCTAAATAGCTTTTTCTAGGCTACCTTATACGTATTAACTTCTCTAAACGTTTCTTTAAGGTGCTTTATAAATCTAGTCTAGCTTTTAAAGATTTTATCTATAGACTATTATATTCTCTTTATATTACTCTTATTTTCTAGCTAGTCTAATATATAGAGTTTAGCCTACGTAAAAGCTTCTTCTTCTATGTTTATTATAGCTTCTAGAATCTTATCTTTATTCTATAGAAACGCTATAGCGTTATATTGTAGATATAGCTCTATAGCTACTAGAAACGCGTTAAGGTTCTTTTTCTTACTATTAAAGCGCCTAGGTAGAGTAATCTTAGCCTAGGCCTAGCGTTTTATCGCGGCTAGCTCTTCTACCTATTAAACGCTTATCTTCTAGAGTACTATAATAACTTATTAGAGTTCTATAATCTATTCTTTTATAGTTAGCTTCTAGGCCTAGGCTTTTCTAGATTAGGTTCTAACTATTAATATAGTTATTCTACTCTTTAACGTTAGGTAGTTATTTTATTATAAGCTATTCTCTTAACTAAGACTAAAGCTTACTTTTATAAAAGAAGGTAAGTAGTATACTTTAGACTAGAATCTTTAGTAATAAAGAGGTAGAGGTAATAATACTATAAATTGCAAGTCTCTATAGTAATTTAATAAATAAAGTAATAACTATAAGAAGCTATAAGAAGCAAGCTTCTTCTAGTTATATATATATGCCTTCTAGGCTAGATTAGGCGCTAAGTCTCTAGCTTTTATAGCTTGCTTAGATTAGAGTCTAATTCTCTAGGTTAGATTCTAATTTCTCTAATCTATCTAATCTATATTATATAACTCTAATTATTTCTATAACTTTACACGTAATCTTTTATTCTATAACTCTAGGTTTAGCCTACTATTTTCTCTATCTAGGCTAGCTAGCTTTATTTCTAATCCTATAATTATAATATAGTATAAGTAATATACTAATAATTACTAGAAAAACGCGCTATACTATAAGAAAGACTAGAAGATCTACGTTAATATACGTAACATAAAAACTAATCGCCTAATAAAGAAAGAGAATAATAAGATAGTAAGACTATATAAAGTTAAGAAAGTCTATCTACGCGCTTATCTACTAGACCTACTACTATCTATAAAAATCTTTCTAGTATTCTATTACTTACTTCTATAACTCTAATATAATATTAAGAGTCTTCTAGAATAAGATAAGATTAATAAAGTAGAGTTACGCTACCTACGTAGAAGAGTTCTAGAATAAGAGAATAGATTAGATAAAGTAACTAAGTAATAGAAATTTAATAAGCTACTTAATAGCTATAATAACTATAGAGATCTATAATATCTTATTAAATAGAGATACTATAAGCCTTTCTAGCAACTAGTAATAGACCTTAGAGGCTAAGATAAAGTAATTCTAGTCTTCTATAGTATATACTTAGAAAAGCTAGAACTACTAATATAGGTAAGAAAGTTAGCTAAGCTCTAATAGAGATAGAGAGAATTTTTTTCTTAGAGTTAGGCTATTTAGAATAAATAGTAGAGTAGAAGAGAGGTACTATTATAGTACTAATATAGGTTTAGATTTAGGTACTACTTATATAATAGTAGCTAGCGTCTTAGCGCCTATATAGATATTTTCTATAGCTTACTAAGCCTTCTACTTCTTATAGTATAATATATTATATTACTATATTATCTACTTTATAATAATACTATAAGTTTTATATATTATTATAGAGATATAATAGTACTAACTAGAAGAAAACTAGATTTTTTCTTAAAAGTTAGTTATATACGTATAGCTTTTTAATTACGTAATATAGTCTAGTGTAACTTTTATATAAGGTGTAATATACTATAAAGAATATATATATAAATTTTTATAGAAAAGTATTAAGGTTTCGCTTAGTTATTTAAGAAAAACGGGTTAATTTTCGTTAATTTTTATTGCTAAGAAATCGTAGGCGGTTCGATAATAAAGTACGTTAGTAGAAGAATATATTTAAATACTTTCTGGATTAGTTAGATAGAGTAATATAATTACGCTATTACACATTACGCAAGAAGAATCTAGAAGGCTATCGCGGCATTACTAATCTAGACGACTTTAACTGCATGTTGCTTGGGTCTAACGAGTCTAGGACCTAATCTGCGGCACGCCCTATGCATCACGCGTTCTTATTGCGACTACTCGACTGGCACACTCGCGCGTTTAGCTAGATCTCCTTCACCTTCCGGAGTACATGCGCTAGTTCTTCACGCTCCTCGCTATTAAGGTCTAGGTCCGAGAGGCTACGCGCTGTGCTCTCGTCCCAGGCATGACGCTTAATCCTTTGATACCCAAAATCCTGGACTTCCCCGATTGGCTCCCGCAGCCATCCTGGTATCCACCCTCTGTCCAGCCCGTCGTCCAGCCACTCCATGACATCCCTCACTCTCCGCGGCGGCGGTGTCCTCAGCTCTGAGCTCGGTTCCGTTATTGTTGGAGGGGATGCGGAAGCTAGCACGGCAATGCTATCGCGCGACGGGCTGTTCGCTTAGCGAGGGCTTCTAGTGCCGGCTTAGCTGCCAGGCGGACTGAAGGTATTCTTCTTGTTGAGGGCCAGCGCGCTCGCATTCGAAGCCGCCCCAGCTGCTGATACGCTGTGGGTAGGCAGGACTTTGGTGTTGGTATCGCGTCTCGGTCGCTTAGGACTGGTGGCGCGCATCGACATTGTATAGGTACAGGGTGCGGAAGAGGCCGCATGCTTCCGCTTCAGCGATGGGCGGTTCTCGGGCGTCGACGGCGGGGAGAGAGCGTCTGCCTGGGCTGAAGCTGGTTTGGAGAGCTGTTGGATCCAGCCTTCCACGCGTGATGTCTTTGCAGCAGCAATTAAGGGCGACAATGGCGGCGTCGTAGCCATAATGGTCGGGGCTGTCTGGCGGTTGCCTGCCTGCTAAGGTCTGCAAGACACTATATTCGAACAGAAACAGCGTCCTCCTCTAGCACCTGGTATCCCTTCATATCTAACAAGAATTCTTCATAGTTCTCGATATTAAGGTCTACACTCCAGTCGGTTTTGGCCTTGAACCCGCTCGCTGGTAGAATCACATATTGGCGATTACTAAGAAAGCCACACGAGTAACGTATCGCATGCAGCTCGTTCGCTAGGGCTCGGAAGTTAGAGTCGACACGGAGCTGCTAGGGGTACGAGGAATGTCGAGGTATAGGTGGGGGGTGTTCTAGCTAACCATGGGCGCGGTGGATGAAAGAGAGCAACTATCTGGGACGTCTCATAGGGGGGCCGACTCCTCTACTAGATCGAGGACTTCGTCATAGTTACGCTGGACTATCTTGCGGACGCAAGGGTCGGTGGCAAGCTCCGCCATCATGTTTGGCAGGGAACGCAAAAGTTCCAGAGCCTCCTATGGAGTGGCAACCTGAATACATGGTATCGAAGAGGCATTGGGAGGTGTAGAGAATGGGCGCAGCTTGTTTCCTGGCTGGCCATGCTCGTGGAAGACGGACGAGGAATCGAATGGCTCGTCCGTGCGGGCGCTAAGTCTATTGCGGTATCACACGAAAGTTGACGTCCCGCATTTCGAATCCCCACCGGGACATGGCGAGGTTGCGGGACGCAGGCAGAAGGAGGCGCGCGCCCTGTTCGCCGCGGACCCAACGACTGTCTAGCCGCCAGTTAGCCTCTCTCCCTGCCACCTGCCGCCTCGCCGGCCGGCCCAAAGCCAAAGGACCATGCCCCTCGCCACGAACTAAACGCCCACGCCCAGTCCATCAACGAATACACCTATGGAAATTAGAAAACCCTCAGCACGATAATGCACCAGGCACCCGCCTACATCCTGCTCGATAGCTTCCTCCGTGATGCTAAACTCTAGTCATAATGCCGTTCTTAAGTAAGTTAGAGTAGCGGTAACTGCCCGGCCCGCACTTGCTTTCATTCCTAAGTTGTGGAGCTGCCATTAGAGCCGTAATGCCGTGTGACCTCGCCACGGGTCCCAGCTAGGTTGGAACGAGTCATGCTGGCGCAAGCGTTACGGGCAGGGATGTAGGTGATGGACTTGCAGAAAGGCAACTGGTGAAGGCTGAGAAAGGCAGAAAGGCGAGGGACTGGAGGACTCTGCCTCGTTGGGGAGCGTGCATGATATATCGTGAGGGGTTGGCCTCACCCAGCGCTTGCTTCTTAGAGGGGCATGCTACCCATTGGTGGCGTTCGACGAAAGCGAGGCGAACACTCTGGGAATCTGCTTGCTGGGCGATTTCTGTTTACGATGGTCGAAGCGTCCCGCGCGGGTGTAGGAAGACGCCCGGTTAGTCCTCCTTGGGGGAGGAAACGAAGGTTAGCGTGTTCGGTCAGAGACGGGAAGCGGAAACCTCGTCAGGGTGGCGGATGGACCCGAGGCTGCAGGCCGCCGCGCGGCGCAGCACGTCCTCGCTTTCGATTCCGGGGGACCAAGGCGACACCCTGGTGCGTGAGGCGGATAGCATGGTGAGATGCAGTGTCCTTTCCCTATCCGTTGAGGCGAATTACTAATAACGCTTCCGGTCAGTCCATCCCTCATTTTAGCTCGACCCGCAGAAGCTCACCGGTGAGACGGCCCTATTCCGCATAAAACGCCGCCAGCATTTATTCAGTTACCACCCGTATAAAGTATGGAATCAATCGGAACCGTTTGGATCATCTTAGCCGGCGTATACCGATCCCCCCTCCTACAAAGTATAGAACGAATTCATCGCTATTGGGTTTGATCAATTTTCAGCATTCGCGCGACAACTAGCTTTGAAGCTCGGGAGGTAAGAAGACTGCGGCCTATTTAAGGGACTAGCAGGGACTAACACCGGAATAGTTTCTGCAGTTACCTAACCCCAATCCAACCCTCGCGAATTCTGAGACGTGGTCGCTACTAATTTAACCGACAATGGTAAGTACGATGGAAGCTGGCCTTCCTAAACATTAGGAATACAGAACCTGATTAGTAGCTATAGGGTTGTGGATGCACGTATTACTGGCAGACCACCAAGGCGTCTGGTTGCAAGCAGACACCTCCACATACCAAGCAAACCAAACTTCAGCAAGACCGGTGCCCTAATGCTCCCGCCGGTGGCCAGTGCGCCAATGCTACAGAGATTGCGGGTTCTTCGATCATCATAACTGAGAGCGGAAGAGTTTGCGATCAATGCCCTAGCTCTACTTCCTAAGGGAAGCAAGATTTAGGGACATTTGAATTGGTGACTCCGTTTAGTAGGAGGACCGACATCTGGCTACGGAATCGCTCGAGCTACACCAGTTTTCAGAGATGATAGCACTCGATACGAGAGGCAAGGTGGAGATGACAACACGCTCGTTTTTAGGGGTTAAATACAAATGAATTCCTTTATTCCCACGTCTTTACCCGCCGAGCGGCTGACCTGAAGTCATACACCCGCATCACCGCGTCATCTAACCAATCGTCCCTAGTTTAGTTCGCCATCGATTCGGACAAACGGTTGGACGAGTTCTTGCCAGAGGAATGATTGGACAGGTCTTTGTCAGAGGAACAACCAGACGAGTCTCTGGCAAGGGGAAGACTAGGCCATATTTGGGCGAGATATCTTGGAGCTGACATGCGGTTAGCTCCATGTGTCTCTTCGCTAAGAGCGTGAACATACCAGAACAGGTAATCTCTTTAGCCACATCAGCCGCAGAATTGAAGTAGCCCTCGCGTTTCCAACACTTGGCTATCACATCCCCGAGCGGAAGTGCACTCACGTCAGGATACTTTCCCTCCTTCATAAGTTCCTTGACCTCACGCTCCTGTTCTTCCGTTTTCTCGTGAAAAGGTTTCCTGCCTGTCACGATCTCGTAGATGGTTGATCCAAGGGCGTGAATTTCGGCGCGGATCGTAGGTGGGCGGTATTCTCGCTCATCAGGATGTCGGAAACCAATTTCGGCAACAACTTCTGCCTGGTCGTCGTCGATAGAAGAGCCACCAAAATCGCAGAGAAGAATATTCCGTGCCGAATCTATTAACAAATTCTTCCCAGATAGGTCAGCGTGGCGGATGTTGTTCTGATGGACATAGTCGAGTACTTCGGCAACGTCTCGACACCACTTAATCCTCTCTTTGGGTGTGGCGTTGCCTCCCTCCTTGTAGTACAGTCGGAGGCACCCAGGCTCCGCTCGTTCGAGGTAAATGCCATACTCATCCACGCTCATAACATTAGGTAGGTTTGGGTGCTTCCCTAGGCGGCGATACACATGCTTTTCAATCTCCATAGCTTGCGCATACTCCTCGAAGGGTAAAGGTACCTTGAGCACCACACCCGGGCGGTCCTTAATGTCGCAAATAACAGAGTACCCCGCACGGATAATAACCGTTGTATTCTCAGGTCTCTTTATAAAGCCTGTCCGCACCGTTGTATTCTCTGTAGTCTCACTCTCCATGTGGAATCGTGGAGGATGAAGGGTGGAACGAAATCTAAGGATCTGTGTGCGTGCTGTGGTATATCATGAATCGCGATGGCCAGATAGGGTGGGACGTGCAGCGCTCGGTATTTATCCTGCTTGACAGGCCATTAACCGTTGGAATTTAGAGGGCTTGATAGGAAATAACCGTTGTCACGACAGGGGGTTACGTACGATGAGAATAGGCTTATTGGCACATCCAGTGGCCACTATCAATCTTTGTAGACAGTAGAAACTGGACGGAGAGCAGGAGGAGTGGGTAGGCGGGCCGTGTATCGGTGTAGGCGGTTGTGTGGGAGTTGGTGTGGTGGTGCAAGTCTCTTAGTAATTAAGGAAAACGGCTGAGGGCACTGTTTTAGCGTCGCGCAGCATCCGTGTGGCGCAGACAACGCCAAGAAAGGATTCTGACTGCGCCACCAAAAAAAATCTTATCCCGCTCGCGGGTGCCGATTCTCCCGATGGCACATGGCAGCTCCAACAGCTAATGAAGTTAGGGAACGCCACGACGACGAAGCCGACCAGGTCGATGAGGTGTCTCGCAGACCTTCGGCGAAACCTTCCCAACGACGTAAACATACTATGCCTCCTGTCCAGGAGAAGTGCCGCGGTCGATCACGAACTGCTGCTAAGCGGCGGGACTGGAGCACCATACCTACGAGGATATTGTCAAGGTTTGATCCCATCACGTGTATGCTTAGTCAGGCCTCATGATAAATACGCGCCCAGGGGCCCGATTCCAGGCTCCCTGAGCAACCTCCTCGTCAATACATGCCACGTTTGCTGTCGAAGCTCATGGAACCGTGACAGATATTGCGACGAGTTACCTCGTTCCAATCACGGCCATTGTCAACTCCCAGAATGGATATCGCGACTCGGTCCCCATTCCTGGTCGGTGCCAAGCCGGGATATCTGCAGCGTATCGTGTCCATCGGCAAAATTTACCGGAGGGCCTGCGGCTTGCCGAACATCGAGCCGGACCCCGACAGGAAAGGACGCGTCCGGAAGCCGAGCGCGAAGGTTCGCCGGCTAGCCAGTCACGCTCCGCCCGCCTCGTCCGTACCGAAACCACACCGCAATCTACTCCCACAGATATCACAATCCAAGTATTTCGAGAATTGGACATTTTCCTGATGAGTCAGCAGATATAATAGTCGTGGCATGTTCTTATTTGTATGGCAGATTGTTAGGTCACAACGACCGATTTATACGGGCTAAGATCCTGTTACCTTCTCCGCTGTACCGCACGCACTAATTCTGCAATCGTCTGGCACCTAGAAAGCACTATCAGAGAGACTGCACTCGTGTTGCGCACCCGTTCTCTCGAGCTACGTAGCAGTGTCTCCGGTCAGGACGTAGCTCTGTCCAACCCGTCCTCGAGCCGCCCCATAACATCTCTTACTTTCCGCGGTGGCGGTGGTGTCGCTATCGCGTCTCAGATGCTTGGGACTGGTGATCGCACGCTTCTGCTTTTCGCCTTGGCTATAAGAGTCTCTTCATGACAGGCCGAGCGCTATCTTGCAGAGTGGGCCACAGCGGATTCCACGCGGGGAAACCTGCTCCGCCCTCTCCACTAACCAAGCTTGTGTTCCGCCTTTCCATGAGCTGGCCTGTGATTCCTCCCCCATATATGTTATTGTGTTTGTCAGGTTACGTGTACCACTGACGCCGTCGAAGCTGGCAAAAGTTGCCACCGACGTCCTGCCGGATAGGCCTTCGTGGAGGGGTTTAACGAGTTCTCTGGATGGCGCGTTAACAAGTTTTCACAGAGAGAGGTTCCCTACGCCCTCGCCGCATCTAAACTCGGTCTTAGAGCTAGCGCAAGCCCAAAGGTGTCCTGTCGTGCGCCTAGGACGAGTCCGCATCGGCTGGCCAGAGAAGGCCTGTCTCGGGCCTGGCTAGCGAGCCAAGCAGTCATAGGTCGGGCGGTTTTCGTAAATGGATGATCGCATCGCCCAAGCGGAGACGGGAGTTGATGTGGGTGTGGTGCGGCCGGCCGGTCCGCAGTTTTCATCGTGATAGCTTGGCGCCCCAACAGCCCACAAACGGCGATCTGCAAGCTACCATCCATCGCCTCTGCACTTAGCCATCCACCAGAGTAACTTCTCTGAGGAATTTTCTGGCCACGGCGACAAGGACGAATCGAAGACTCGCGCTGCTAAGAATACATGCCTTTTAGGCACCCTCTTCCCCTCTCCTCCCTGGCCTCCAAGCCGGCAGCTTTTGGAATGCCCTTCCTCCAGTCCATATCAACGGGATCCCCTTACTCCCCCCGCATCTTTGCATTCCACACTTTTTATATGCTCTCTATAATTGGGAACCTTACAACACCTTATAACAGATCTCCGTACCAATCTGTTTCAAGGTTCTCTTTCTGGATCTAGGTACCGTTGCGCTCATCTATTCCCGTCGCATTTCGCATCATTTGCTAACGACAACGATAGAAACGATGGCAAAGAATGATGAAGCATATCGGAAAATTGTTGCCACGCCACTGGAATTGCTTGGTGCGGGCATCTCTGGACACGTCTTTGTCGTCGACGATCGTACTGTTGTCAAAGTCGCATTGAAGAGCAACAATACATACGTGGACAACGAAAGGCTTCAAGACCACTTAATCGAGCGATGCATCTACGAGCGACTTGGGAAGCATAAACGGATATGCGAGCTCAAGTATGCAATTGACCGCGGGCTTGTTCTTGAGAGACTCAAGCAATGTCTACGGGAGCGGTTGGAGGACTTTCAGAAGCTCGGCACGGTACCCTCGCACGAGGAGGCATTTAGATGGTCGATTCAGGCAGCACAAGCATCTGCTTATATCCATGAGAAAGGAATTCTTCAGAGCGATATGGGCTGCCATAACTTTCTTCTTGATGAAGACGACAACGTTAAACTCTGCGATTTCGGCGGCTCGTCGATTGACGGCTCTAAACCTTTATGCGCCCCCGGAGCTGGATATCAACGCCCTACGGACGACACCGATACTTTCACGGTCAAGGATGATTTATTTGCCCTTGGCAGCACCCTCTACGAGATTTGGACAAGTAAAAGGCCCTACCAGAACGACCAAAACGATTTTCGGTGCGAGAGAGATCACTACAGGACTGTGTTGGATCACTTCAGAAACCAACGTTTCCCGGATCTGACGAGGGTCCTTCCCGCTGGGATTATAAGGCAATGCTGGCTCGATCACTACACGTCGGCTGCAGAGGTAGTTATGGACCTAGAAGCACTCTGCAAAATTAGACAAGCACATTCCGACTGCAATGAGCAGGATAAATCATAAATAGAGGCAATAATCCACAATTTTTGGCCGGTTTATTTTGCCGTCATCTGCCACCCTTGCTACAGTCCTTCCGCCTACGCAGCTGCACTCTAACAAAATACCATATTCTTGGCTTCCGTAGGCATAATTGTTGTCGTCTCAGGTTTAAGATGGTGTAACGAATTCCTAAGTCTAGCGTTAGCTAACTTACAGCTACCTTATCTGTGCGAACAGCGTACCTCAATGTATTCCGCCCGTTCTCCTACGCACACTGGGCAATCGGTGTGCCGGGTCGTTGAACCAAAGACTGCAGCACTTGGAGCAGCATCTCGACACTCTTGACGCGTGCTGATTGGATTCGGTTTGCTACAAAGCAAGTATGTCCCAGTCGTAACTCTATGCTGATTTCCGGCCTGGCATTTGCTGTAAACAAATACAGTGTCGGTATATTTGCATATGGTTGTGAGAGATTAGGTGAAGTCGGTTGCCTAAAGCTTAGTTAGCGTTACTCCCCCAGTTGCGCAGTAGCCATTTCCAGCCGTCCACCACATGCGTCTATCTTCTATGTACGGTTGGAAATTACGAAACCCGATGTGTTCATAGCATCCCTCGAAGGTTTCGTCGGCCTGAGTCCTTCACGTTAGTGTTGTCAGTATCTTGAAAAGGCGCCGAAGTCGATCCTACCTCGGGCATTGAGCTGTATTAGCCGGGCGGATGGCGCGTTTCGAAGGTCAAAGGCGGTCGCGAGTCGGGGGACGTTCGATGTTAAATGCACGATTTCGATCAATCACGGAACGGATATAATACCTGCGAAATGTCAATATAGGTGCTTGTCGCCAGGCCGGGTCGAGGGACGTCGAAGAGTACCAGTGCAGTCTCCGCGACTGTGTTCCAATAGAAGCGCCTTGTTCTGCATATATATCGATGTATATGGCGCCGACTGAAGAAGGTAACGTAGGTCGAGGGAAGACCGGTCAGCGGCGGAACTGCTGTCGCTGATGGGCCCGGGGCATACCTGAGTCGACGCTGCGAAGGTATAACAAGGGCAGAGCAGAAGCGAAGGCTACACAAGACAAGGAAGAGGCCAACGCCGCGATGGACGAAGACTTAGACACTCTGCAGGCGTACTCCTTGGCGTCAATGACCGCAGACAATGATGCATGCGAGATGCACGCTCTGGTGCAATTCTGCACAAGAGTCTGGCTGTCATCTCCAGCGATGCAGCGCAATGGGACCTAGCGGGGAGTATGAGAACTGGGCACAGCATCCGAGTTCTTCCAAAACTAGCAACTTTGTACTTGAAACAGGCGTAACAATTGAGTTGTGTAACTTATCCAAACATGGGAGAAGATACTTCGGATCAAGTTTCAAACGGCCACTCTTTCTCCCACACCTCCTTTTCCTTTGGATTGGAGGCGAAGGTACTAATGATCTGTTCCCTCATCTGCGTCAATGCATCCAGAGCCTCATCGTACTGATCAGGCCTCACAATGCCCTGCTCAGGGAATAGTTCTCCCAAGCTGTCTCGTATTGAACGCATTGCTTCCATGCCTCGTGTCACGCCTTGCATATCAGCTTCAAGGTCGCTCCGGTCTTTGTTTGAGAAGGTGAAAGGACTGGTCGAACGTGTGTCTGCTGAGAAATCTGTCCACGTTGATTCCAACTCAGCTAATTGTGAGAGATAGGTCACCTCACCATCGATGAGAATGTTGCGTGCTAGAAGTAGAAGTAGATACTTCTGCGTATGCTGAAACTGGAGTGCAGCATAGAGTCGTGGGTTTTGGTGATGTGTCAGGGTGTTGTACAATGAACACAGGGATTGGTGTAGATATAAGGCCTCAGCTTGCTGCCTTGCAGAAGGTTCAAGTCTATCCAGGTCCTTTCTTGGTTGAGGTCTTGCCAAACCATTGATGGGTGAGCCAACGTAGTCAATGATGTGAGGTTGGCGGGCATGGAAATATAGCGGAGATAATTCCGTTGACTGCCAGTCTATAAGACCCACAACTTTGGTAGGCTCGGAGATGTCGACAAAGATGTTACCAAGATGTAAATCATCATGCCAGAGATGCGCTGATGATATTTCCTCATCTTTTGGGAGAAGGACCTTGATTATGTCGAGATAGTGGCGCAGAGCCTTCAATTTCTTTGCTCTCGTCGGTTGATATGTTCCTGGGCCGCACAAGGTAATTGGAGACTTGGGTAACTTAGGAAGTTGGCTAACACACGATATCTCGCGGTGACCGATTGCGGTATGATATGCTTCTAGAGAGCTCCCTTGCTTTGTCAGTTCAGTAATTTTCATGTCCAGCTGGCGTTCTTACATGGCCCTCTGTCAAAGTTGACTGTTGCTCTCCCATTGTCGAAATTTTCGCGTCCTGTTGACAGGCCAACAGCATAGCACGTGTTTTTGATATGATTGCCCTTTGCATCGACGTATAGTGGCTGAGCATCGGGCGTGTCGTCGAGGTCTTTCGAGAAATAAAGGCTTCCATACTTGGCAAAGGAAACTGACGTCCAGGATTTCTGAAAACCAGCGATCGCCTTCACCACAGCGAACCTGTCTTTGATGTTCATCTTTGGCCAGACATGTTCTAATTCGATACCCGGCACCCGTTCCATGATGATGTATTCAGCGCCAACTGGGCTCTCGTGCGCATGAGAACACCAAGCTAGAACTTTAGGGACAGGGGTGCCAAGAACGTTTCGTGCCTGCAGCGTTAATCCCATGAGCGTAAGGCTCTCTAGAGACGACTTACGAAATCCATTGTCGCAACTTCGCTGGCTGTGGTGAAATGAGGTAAACCAGCATTTGGGTTCGGAACTTTGGCTACAACGCGAGAGCCGTTGTCCATGGTAAGCAGCATGCTCTTGTTGTACATACCATCAGGATATTTGGAGATCCTGACGCATGTTCTCGCCCCAACAGCCTCGGCTGCACAACGAGCAAGCTCATTGACATTGAAGCGTACACGGCGCTGCGACAGTTCATATCGCTCGTTGCAGACGAAACGACCTCGAGTGTAATTGAACAGGTCTTCGCTATGTTCGACATCTGGATGAATTAGCAATCGGACCTATGCTTCGAAATCAGATAAATGGACCAGGAAGTAACGCTCGTGAGGGTTGACGACGATGAGCGTGACCAGTTGTCATGTTTCTGCGACTTTCTTTGGTCCAATACCGTGTATATCTAGGAAGATACATGCCTGCCGCTGTACTTGTACGTGTCGTTGGGGTTTATAATTGTCGGGTTCCGAGGCTGATCGGCGTCGCCAAGAGCCAAGTACGTAAGCGCGCGCGCCAAAGAAGCCCGTCACGTGCCCGTGCCCTTTCACTTGCGTTAATTCGTCCAACAACCAATCTCCACCTGGCGCTTTCAGCTACTTCCAGTCGTCTGAGCCCTAGACGCGCTCTGTTCTCCACTGATCATGCGAGATCGCACCACAACGGACTGCCATACAAGCACAGCACGGTTTTGAGCTGGGCCATTCGTCCACAGCGACTAAATCTGAATACAATGTGTCTGTCTTACCGCGCGCGAGGAATGGGGCACACTTCCTCTGATGAAGATGCGATGCTCAGCCAGCAGGCTGAATGTATAAAGCGCGAGTCCGTCCTACTTGAGAGCGGCAAAACCCATTTCTTCCTCCCAACCTACCGTGGCAAAAAACGAAATCTCACTATACATTTCCATAATCCAAGTCAGTTATGCAAAGACTCTTCACATTAGATAGATTCGAGCTGATCAGCAACCTAGTCAACATGAGTCGTGCGCTGAAGTCTTCGCTGCAAAGCCTCAAGAACTGGGTCCTTCAGAGCAATTCGCGTGTACAAAAGATAGCAAGCGATCTGCTTGCGAGCTGTGTGTAAGACGAGTGCTGTGATCCTACCGGCTGTCGGCTGGGCGTGTCGACGTCAGGCTCTTCGTCACAAGTACCTCAGAGGTAGGCACTACTTACATACACAGATTACTGTTCACACTTATCGCTCTTGTCCAACGTCCATCGCGCCCAACCTAGACTCTTGTTGCATTCTTGCTCTCTATTCCCGCTTCAAGCTGTTCTCTTCGCGCGATCATGATCTGTCAACCCTGCTCCAGCCTTGCGCCACGGCTCACCGGTAGGCTGCAGCCCCCGCTCTTTGACAGCCTGCCCAGACCGACAGCTCTCTACATCACAGATTGTCACAGCCTTATCGTTTGCTGTGATCCATCCACCACCTCCTTCTTCTGTCTGCGCTCACATATCTGGTAGCTGAAGATCATTTGCTCAGCGTGACCGAGCCGCCGTACGCTATCGATAGCTTCCCGTGAAGGCAAGAACCTCTGGCTCCTCTGCACCATCCTCTAGCCCTTGCTCTTCTTCCGCCGTGGCGGGCGATAGTCCATGTTTGGTGTAGATTGAAGTGGTTAACATCTTCGGTTGTAGTGTCTGCATGGACTACGAGCGCGTTTTTGGGACGGGACGAGGCTGGGGGCAGGCCAGCTAGTTGGTGAGCATCTGGGGACAGCGGAGCTGAATGTTAGTAGTTGCAGCAGATGCTAGTAGTAGGCGGGAGTGTCGCGAATGTATTGTCCTGGCTGTAGGAAGCCGATCGAGTCCTTCTTGACGCTTGCTTTCGCTGACCTGGTGGTCTCGGTGGCGAGGGACCAAGCGTATGGATAACCGAGTGAGCTGTTCGCACCGAGTAATGCTCGCCTACGTGCGGGACGGCGCCGGGAGGGGCTGTCTGCTTGGGTCAAGGACGAGCGAGGTCGTGCCGTCAGTTGCTCACGAAAGGGTGATGGTGCCTCGTACCTTTCAGCGATGTAGCTGGCGAGTTCGAATGCCTCTGGTATGAGTAAGGCTCGATGAGGTCCAGAGCTTGCGGCGTAGGTTATGATGTTGAACGCTCGAATGTGTAGGTCCTGGGGGATGTCGGGGAGTGAGCTCATGTGCGGGCGGTGAACTCCTTTGATCGTGGCGGTGACGAGATGAGTATACTGCGTAGTATACCGGGAGGGGAGAGGATTCTGATGCAACGCTGCTGAAGAACGTATCCTGTTGGGGTATACTGCGATGTATGTGAGGTGAGGAGGAAAAGAGTGTGAAGTTCGGGCGAGGGTGCTTTATCCCGGTGGGAGTTGGGCGGTTCACGCTTGCTGTCCACGCTTGCTGTCCACGCTTGCTGTCCACGCTTGCTGTCCGGGACTTGTTGAGTGTTTTGTTGGGCGAGTGGCGGGAGTCGTGCTCGACTATGGGTGGAAGCTATGCTCGACCGTGGGCGGAAACTGCGGTGTATGCGATCGCCGCGCGGTGTGAGGTGCGAGGTGCGGAGGGTGGTGTTGTTGGGCGACTGTCCCGATCTGGAGCGCTGAGGTCGTGATTTTTGGGGAGCGCGGTGCTCTACTGGTGAAAGTTGTGATGACGCGATTCGTCCGAAGCTGCGAGCGTATGGTCCGTGCGTCTTGGCGAGGAGCGAGGCTCGAGTCCACAGCAACCCGCCATCGCGTTCGCACCGCACACCACAACGAAAACCCGCCATATCACAGACGGTGAAGCCAACTTCTGGGAAGCTGTTCAAGGAATTGGCTCTCGATCACTCCCTTAACCGGAGTTTTGCCGAGAGCCTGGGAATGAGATTGCTGCGGTGAGTCATTCCTGCCTCAATTTGCCAAACACAACCGCTGAAGCAGAGCCGGGTCAGTAACGTTAATACCATCACACCGCTAAGTCGAGTTGTCTCTTTCCCCCTCCCAAATGTGCGACCCTTCTTCTTTCTTCCTCAGACAAATACCCTGACGCTGACAATCTCAATCTCGAACAGTTGAGCGCACGTAGCATGGCGTCCGACGGTCGCAAACAGCCGCCATGGATCCCCCCCCAAGCCCGACCCGACGCCCAGCTGCCCCGACTGAAGATCTACAACAGCCTGACGAGGAGCAAGGATGACTTTGTCCCAGTCGATCCGACAGGAAGGATGGTGACGTGGTACGCCTGTGGCCCAACAGTGTACGAAGATGCCCATCTGGGCCATGCCAAGAATTACGTCTCGACCGACATTATCCGCCGCATCATGAAGGACTACTTCGGCTTCCGTGTCAAGTTCGTTATGAATACGACCGATATCGACGACAAGATCATCCTCCAGGGCCGCCAGCAGTACCTGCTCGCGCGCTTCAAGCAGGAGCATGCCACTGAGGACGACTCGGTGAGCGATTCGATTTTGGCAGAGGCCAAAGCCGCATTCCGGCACTACATTGGCAAGAACCTTCCGTCTCTGCCCTCGGATACGAGCCCAGAGACTTTTCCCGAGGCAGCGGACAAGGCATATAAGGAAAAGGCCGAGCCTTCACCTCTGGCCGACGCCGCGACAGCAAAACAGGGCCAACAGGGCCAAGCTGTTACTGTCGCCGATTTGCTGTTGAAAGCACACATTGGAACGGCACGGTCGGCTGTCGAGGCCCTGCAAGCCCCAGGAAAGCTACCTGAATTTTTCACCAAGACGGACGATATTTTGCTCCCATATCTCGATGCCTTGCATGGTGCAGAGATGGACTCCAATAACCACAAGATATACCTGGAGCTGACCCAGAAATTCGAACGCCGCTTCTTCGAGGACATGAATGCGCTTAATGTCCTGGCTCCCGACCAACTCACTCGTGTGACCGAGTATGTCCCTCAGATTGTCCGCTTCGTTGAGAAGATTGTGGCGAACGGTTTCGGTTACGCTACCCCTGAGGGCTCCGTATATTTTGATATCGACTCGTTTGAGAAGGCTGGGCACAGCTACTCCCGGCTGGAACCATGGAACAAGAACGACCCTGCCCTCCAAGCCGATGGTGAAGGTTCACTGTCCAAGGGAAGGTCAATGAAGCGGAGCGAGAATCATTTTGCGCTGTGGAAAGCTAGCAAGCCAGGCGAGCCAGCATGGCCGAGTCCATGGGGTCATGGGCGGCCAGGATGGCATATTGAATGCTCTGCAATGGCCTCCGAAGTGATCGGCAAGACGATAGATATCCATTCCGGAGGCGTCGATCTTCGTTTCCCTCATCATGATAACGAACTCGCACAATCGGAAGCTTACTGGTCGACTCCGGGCTGCCAAGTACAGTGGACAAATTACTTCATTCACATGGGGCAACTAAGGTAAAAGGTTTTAAATACCCAACTCGTCGTACAAAGGAGCTAACAGATCGTAGGATTCGAGGCTTGAAGATGAGCAAGAGCCTTAAGAACTATACGACCATCAGAACTGTTCTCTCCCAAAAGGAGTGGAGTGCACGTTCTCTCCGAATTTGCTTCCTCCTTATGCCTTGGCAGGATGGTATTGAGGTAACAGACGAGCTTATGAAGGCCGTAGTCAGCTGGGAAGGCAAGCTCAATAACTTCTTTCTAAAGAGCTTGGACCTCTGGAAACATTCCAGTGCCGGGACTACAACAATGCAAGAGCTTGGCATGGCAGACCAGCAATTATTAAGCGCCCTGGATAAGGCGAAAGCCGATGTTGACACAGCTCTTTGCGATTCCTTCAACACCTCAGCTGTCATGAGAATCCTCTCTGATCTTGTTACCGAGTCTAACTCGGCAGAGGCACTCTCAGATCAGACAGTCATCTTGCTCGCCCGGTGGGTAACACGCATTGTCACCATATTTGGTCTTGATCCCGAGGGAGATCTCAGCAACCTGGTCCGTATAGGGTGGTCGGGCCTCGATATTCCCGCGCCAGCAAAACCCTATATCTACCCCGCATCTCAATTGCGCGACAAGGTCCGAACCTTGGCATATTCCGGCTCGGTCGATCATACAGCTATAGCGAAGCTCGCTGACGGAATTACGATCGCGGCGTCAACACCAGTGGTCGAGTCCTCCAAACCATACGATCAGGTGCTGCAGCAGTTCCGCACCAACGTCAAGGCCCTCGCGGCCCAGCAAGCGCCGGCAAAAGACCTTCTCGCCTTATGCGACCAGCTCCGCGATGTACACCTCTGGAACCTAGGCATCTATCTCGAGGACCGCAACAACCCCCAGCCTGCTTTGGTACGACCCCTCGATAAGTTGCTCATAGAGGCGCGCGCGGAGCGGGAATCAGCTGGCACTGCGAAGGCGAAGGCTAAGCTGGAACAGGAGGCCAGGAAGGCTGAGAGGGAGAAGGAGCTGCGCGAGCGCGCCAAGGTCGACCCCCTGTTGATGTTCAGGACCTCGGACGAGTACTTGGAATGGGACGAAAGCGGCATCCCGACCGTGGACGCAGCGGGGAATGTGGTGTCCAAGAATAGGCGCAAGAAGCTAGTCAAAGAGTGGGAGAAACAGAAGAAGAGGCACGATGAATGGCTGCCGACGCAGCAGGCAGCATAGAAAAGGGGACTCGGAAAATGGTAGTGCCTACTTTGGTGGACAATCCCCTTTTACCAGTGTCTCCATTCTTAGGTTAAGGTGACCCACAACGTTGAAAGAGTGTTCTTCCTTGCGTAGATAGAAATAAATGAGTGACGATTACAGACGAAACGAGGATAAAGAAGACCCATCCCGCCATCCAGGCGTGACACGATGTTGGATCGTGACTTGATGCTGACCCTTTCCGTCGCCCTACGGACTACTCAGCGGAATTGGCTCCCGTTTCCCCGAACGAAAATGCGGGAAACCTATGCTTGTTGTAGTCTCCATACTTTATCCATACAACACTTCAGCAATGACAATGATCATCGCAACATTCGCACTTCCCACATGTCCACGCCGAGGAGCAGTGTTTACATTGGTCTCCGTGAGTAATTATGGGCGCCGAAGCAGGGAATAACCCCACTGGACACTAACATCCATTGTTTAGATAAGGCGCAGCATGGATATGCAGGTAGATTACTTACGAAAGCCACATGATGTCCGCAGCTATCATCTCCTTTCTGCTCATCCAATACACTCAAAACCGTGTCACGTCTCGGCCAGCTGATTATGTCCTCGACGTTCGACATACTGATCAGTTCAGGTTCTATATACTATTGTAAGTACGTAGTCTAGATGAAGCTTCGGAGCAGGTATCCACTTACCGATATAGTTGGAAGCTAAGTAAGTACCAAATACTCCTGGGGCGTCTGATTTGCTTTGATAGAGTTCAACGGGCTAACGGGAAAGTTGGGGCAAGACCGGACTTTATCTATCAGTGCCTCGCCTGTACCACCACTTGTCCCCCGCTCGTATTCCCTCACCAACCCCATGCAGCCTTGCCTCTTTTGGGATTTGGCGCTGGTGGCGACTATGCGTACGCCAACCGCATCGAAGGGGGCAACCTTCGCCATTGCGAGCGATCTGGGCCATTTCTCGCCCCAGTATGGCATCGTGATTAATGTTCTTATGGCATCGGGCACGTCCTGCACGGGAGATCTTTCATGGGGGCTCTAAGTTCACTACTCATACCTACTTCTAGGCGAGCAAAGTTGCCCCTCTGGTGCTTGCGTAGGCCTCAGAGGAATGCAAGGTGTGTGGAGGATGCTCTACGTCTAGCGAGGGTCTGCTCGTGTCGACTCTTGAGTGGCTGGGGTAAGCTCATGGCTGTAGTGAGCAACCGACTGCTGACCGGCTGCATGATGCCGTTTTCGTCTCACCGGAAGACGCCCTGACCACGTCAATAACACATGCATGAATGGCAAATGCACTATACGCCACCCCGCCCAGTGGTTCCTAGCACCAATATCACTGGGTATTCAAATGCCGAGGACGGGCAATTTGATAGATCGGCGATGCTATACAGATCGGATGCAGGCGCACTCGCAGTCTGTATATTATCGAGCCGTGCTTACTTATTCTTTAACAAGGGGTTTAATGCTCACCTTTCTTGCTGTTATGGAATCAGGTGGCATTTGACAGCTCCGGGAGCTCCGGAGTTCTGCCGAATTGCCGAGGCTCTTTCCTAGTTAGGACTAGCACATCCTTAGCGTATACAGAGCCTCGCGCACCGCAGAAGCTCTCACCCGACTGCCCTGGGTCCCTTACACAATATTATTGCCCGTAACGCGTACGACACGGCGACCGCGCGATCGAGCCCTACGGAAACAGCGTCAGCGATATTCTATTCCGGTTGAAGCCTGTGAGCTACGATTGTCAGTTGCGATCGCTCGACTCACCTCTGCCGGAGTAGGCTTGTGAGCCAGCGCGCCAGCGAGCACCCCCTCAGCGTCAAATTCAGCGGCAGTGAGAACTTTTCCCGGTTGAAGGCGACAAACAGAGAACCCACGAGCCCAGCGTAGCTCTCGAAAATACGACTCCGCCCAGCGAGGCACCCACAACGCTTAACTGAGCCAGCGCGCCAGCAAGCACCCCCTACAAGCTCAGCCCAGCGAGGCCCCCACGATGAGCTCTCAACTCACTATGAGCTCTCAAGACTCCGACGTTGACGAAGGCGCCCTCCGACGACTCCATCACGATCACCAAGGGCGACGGCAGCGTCGTAAGTATCGACGACGACGAGTCTCTGACTACTGCGATTACTGGAGAGCCAACTCTCTGGCGTCAAGTCCTCCGCCACCTGGCCACCGAGCTCGTCACCCTCACCGACGATAATACGCGCCTCCGCCGAGCTCGCGATAATTATCGCGCAGCCGCCCGAGCCGATAGCCCCCGCCGTAGTACCGGCCCACACAGTCAAGAAGGACGTAACAAATGTTACCCAGACCCACCCGTTTTCCACGGCGATCGCGACCTCGATAGCTTTGAGCCCTGGATGCTCAATTTGCAGTCAAAGCTCCGCCTTGCCTGTTCCCTTCAGAGCTCGATAAATCGACTATATACGCGATCGTCTCCGTGGAATCGCTCTGGGCGTCGTACGTCACCGATTGCCCTCCACCGACTCGATCGATTTCGGCTACGCCAGCAATATATACACCAGTTCGGATGAGATGATCAAGGACCTCAAACGCGCCTTCGGCAAGGATCCGGAGGAGGAGACCCTGCGCGCCCACGCGGACCTTATGATGGCTAAGGCTGAATACAGGATGAGTGAGGAGGACGACTTTGGCAAGTGGTGGCCAAAAATACAAGCGACTGCCACCTTGGGCCGGCTCTCTCTCGCCGAGCAGGTCCTCTGCCTCAAGACCCTACCCAAGAGAAGCCTCGTTGACGCCATGCTTGGCCACTAGCCCCACGGCAACAAGCTCACCGAGGACACCTTTCAAGAAGCTCTCGATCGACTCCGCCGTATCGACTTGAACCAGCGTCTGCACCTCTCATGAGCTCTCAATTTCCTGAGGTAACAGGCTCCGCCAAGGAGCGCAGTTGCCTCGGCCCGCGATTGACTCACGATTGCAAATATCAGGAATTTCTTGAAGGTAAGTTCTCCGAGGTGACCGTTCGAGCAAGGGGCTGACGAGCTGTAGCTGTCCGGCGAGGTGAGCAAGAGAAACTAGCATCAGCCGATTTAGTAAAGCGGTATTTCTCCCCTGTGGCTTGGTATATTCTTGCGCTAACGTGCAGGTTCTCTTTTAGACACCGATGTCTGACTGTCCTCTGTGCGGCGGCACTGGGAAACAAGGCGATTTCGACTGTGGTCTGCGTCATGGCAAGGGCAAACGGGACACGGAGGAGACCTCTTCAGGCTCGAAATAGCAAAGCATGCATCGCTTTGCCTTTTCTGGAGGACTAGAGCCGATCGGTTCACAGGCTGAATACCGTGCTTTGTCAGGTTGAATGGTGATAAGCTTGTTGAGGACCTCTTCAAAGACTTCTTCGTTGATAACGGCATGGATCGCACTTTCGGGCTTGCCATGCCGCACCGCCACTTCGACATCCTTCCTGGGCAAATGATGGTCAATTACAATGGCACATCTACCCCTTGGAATGTGAACCCCGGCGAGGGGATGGATGAACCCCAACCAGCAGTCTGGAACTTTTCCTCCACTGGTGAATTGATACCAACTGAGTTCAACTATTCCAAAGGGCACAAGGTTGAGATGGGAGAAAAGGAGCGTGCCTTTGTAGCCAGCTTCAAGCGTTTGCTTGACGAAAAGGACCTCAGAGAGATCTTTGGCTTGTGCGAGTACCCGGGAGACGACTTCGAGGGCACATGTGGGATCACCATGGGTTCGGCCAACATCAACCTGAAGCCGAAAGATGTACGTCAATCTTATACTGAAGTAACGTCGCTAACTAAACCTCTTTGACACAGTATCCTGAAGGTTTGAAGGGGGCTGACACTGCAGGGTTCTTCTCCCCACCACTCAGGAAGCGAGGATGTAGATGCACCTGCGATAACCGCACCGCCCCTCATGGTCATGGCGCCCATGTTATCACGCAGTCCGCTTAGGCTTCTAATCGGTAACAGCTGTGTATCCCCTTTCAGATAAACATGGAATGGCTTTAACGTGGCCGGTGTTTTCTCATTTCAATAGAGGCTGCTGGAGTTGCAGCCAGACGAGAACCTGGGCATGCGGAGCGAGAGTGGAGAATTGGAGGGGCTGAGGACTCGACTGTTTTGCTGTTGTGTCGGCGTCCATAGATGCCGATCTGGAAGTGCAAGAAAGTGCACACCTGCCGCATACGGGTAGCGCGGTTCGGTTAGCGCTCCCTCGGCTCGTTTCAGACTGCCACCTGCCCCTCGCCAGCGCCAAGCCTGGAGCGTCAAAACCTTCTCGCCAACTAACCGCTCTCTCCATCCGACTTCGCGCCGACACTCCTGCATCCATCCTTCCATCCCGTCATCATATATCTAGCGCCGCATGCGCGTTACGCTTCTCTCTCTCCATGCCTATGGCGCCGCGACCCAATTCTGCTCCCGCCAAGAATAACAGGCGCCAACCCACAACTGGACCTCGAAAGAAGACTCCTATCGTGAAGTCCGCACGGCGCGCTGGCACTCGAAGTAGCGCACGACTGCAACACATCCAACCACCTCCCACCCCTCTTGCACCCACTTCTCAGCCGGCCCGCACCAAATGGAAACGCCCCGAAGAAGACTCTGAAGCCGAAGCCGACGAGCCAAAAGGTGTGTGCCCCGCAAACCAGCTCCGACACGAGTTCTCTGAGGAGAACTTGAAAGAAGACTCTGCTGAAGCCGGCGAGCCAGAAGACGTGCGCCCTTCAGAAGAGCCCCAAGAGCTCTCTCCCCAGCCCCGGCCTGTCCAACTACCCCCCACCCTTCCTGCACAAAGACGCAGAAGCCTACGCCTCCAACGTGCCGATCCCATCCAGACAACACCCAACTCCGTTCAGCAGGCGAAGACGCCAAAGCGACCTCGAGAAGAAGGTGAAGTTCCACCCTTCCGATCTTCGCCCGAGCCGCTCCCAAAACGAGTACGGACATCTGCAGCTTCGGTCGGCGAACAGGTTGGGTGGGAGACAATCAGCGAGGCTCGAGTTGACTACTGGAGGGAGAACGGAACCTGGCCGACAGAAGAACAAGAGAAAACAATGGATCGTTTTCGAGACATTTTCCATCATGCGCTCGCAAGAAAGAGATCATCGGCTTCCCTTCGCCGCAAGCGTTCGGATGCCAGCATCAACGCGGAAACAGTCCTAACACGAACACCGAGCGACCAGCAACCGCGAGAACAGAAGAGTGCTCCGTACAAACATCCGCGGTACGAAGGTCAACTCAGGGAACGCGGTAGCTTCATGGGTAAATACGAAGAGGGAATCACCGCCGAAAGCAAAGAGCTTTGCCAAAAGCTTCTAAGAGCGTCGCAGTCGCCACCAGAACATACATTGTTCGATGATGATCTGTTCGAAGACACTTTGGAATTGATCAAAGGCAGAAACGAGACCAGAGTGATCCGCGATATCGCACAGCTCATTGTCCCTCCTGCCGAAATTTTGGCAATTCGCGGCGCTAAGCATCTGAAGATTCTCAGAGAGACTACTAACGCCGGCTGGAATAACGCCATCCCTTTTTGCGGACCGCGTCCGCAGCCAGACTACGGTCTTGGGTTTAAGCGAGAAGCATTCAACCGAGAACAGTTACAGAAGCTCCAGCCTTTTATTGGTAATGAACTGGAAGACTGCTCCTATGTTGCGGCTACGTACGACATGTACCTTCCATTTCTTACCAGCGAGGTAAAATGCGGAGCGTCCGCACTGGATATCGCCGATCGACAGAACGCTCATAATCAGACTGTTGCTTTACAGAATTTAGTAGAGCTTTTTCGACTTGTGGGCCGCGAGAAAGAGCTTCATCGAGAAATCAACGGCTTTTCAATCTCTCACAGCGATGTAGACGTACGCATCTGGGGACATTATGCTGCTATTGATGGAAGAGACGCCACGTACTATCGGCACCCAATTGGCGAATTCAGCATCAAGAATACGGAACTGGATCGAGGGAAGAGGTGGACGGCCTATACTTTTGTCCGAAACGTCTACGATATATGGCTTCCCGAGCACTTCAAAAGAATCTGTTCCGCCATCGACATGTTACCCGCTGGCTTGAATTTCGAAGTCTCCGATCAGCCCGAACCTCAATTTCCGGATCTGGAACGAGCGTCATCACGCTCAGGACTGTCCCAGCGATTTGAAGATTACCGCTTAGCCGATGAAGGAGCGATACCGGACAGCCAGCCAAGCGTCCAGCAAATCACCCCAGACACAACGATTCACTCTGAGTCAAGCAACTTCAAGAGGAAAAAGAAATAAGGACTTGCATCTCACCGTCAACACAGGGTTCGGCTTTTGGCCATTCAGTCCTTGGCCATTCAGTCCTTTGCTTGCGATCTGCTTGTGTATACGTAGCAGAAGGCACAGATAGTTTATCCTACAATTGAAGTTCTTGATTTATATTCTCTGTATCTGACGAACACGCCCACAGAGCGAGATCTGTGTTCTATTGTGTATCCACTTAATGATACCCCCTTCAGGTATAGCGCCTCGGTTCGGGAAAACCTTACCTCCGCGGATCGCTTGGCTTTTGCATCGGCCTCCCCTTCTTCTTCCCTCATTCCCTTCACCCTCTCTTGACTCCCCGCCTGCTGCAATCCTTTGTACAGCTGAAGCTGCGCCCAGTAATTCCCGCAATCAGGCACCTCAGCCGATGCGAAGAGGCAAGTGCCGCATGAGCCCAACACAACCCTAAGCTCGATTCCACTTCCTACGTGCTAATGAGACCTTTTTCCCACAGTCATCGCCCTCTTTGACCCTCTAAAGATTGAGTCTACTTCATCCATTTGCTCGTCTACGTCGAATTGACTGCTCCAACCCGTACCCCACCGACCTCGTGTACATCGATTTCTCTTCTCCAAGAGTCGGAACGAGCTCCACCTTTCCGCAAGTTTCTCCCCTCCCCGATCCTAGGGCGATATCATCGTGACTCGCGGACGGTGATACCCGCTACACGAACCCATATACCATTCGAGTGGCGTCAACCTTTTCATGCCGAAATGTCACTGGGCCAGGGCGTCGTCAGGCCCTTCTTTCGCGTCGGATTTCTGACCCCTCTAGGGAAGCTGGCGCAGCGGCGAAGGAGGTGAGTCCAGCAGCATCCGTGAAGGCCATATGACCATATTTAGGCAGGAAATGAGAGATGATGTTGACGCCGTTTGATAGTCAAATATCAGAGACAGAGCGGTGAGAATGAGGAATGGAAGAGAAATATAGTAGAAAGATCTTGCTTTAAATACGCATCTTAATGCATGTGCACGAACGTCTTGTCTCCAAATATTAACCATGTATAAAAACGAGGTTGTGGTGTACAGCGCTTAGCGGAGTTAAACTGAGGCAAACGCCGTTCACTTCGTTTGGGAGCCAATGGATCCTAGACGAGACTCTAATCTTCATACTCTCCGCTTCATCTGCGTGTTTGTTTCGAGCTGACACAAAGGTTGCCGAGTTGTTGGTGTCTATTGCAAAGTCGTTTCCTGGTAAGCGCCAGCGTTGCGATGGCCAGAGCTTTGGGCGGCATGGCGCCATCGTCGGGCGAGGACTAGACTTCGACTGGGAACAGCGTGCTGATTGGTTTTGCGGCGCTAACTCGGCGCTAGCATCGCCTCTGAAGAAATTCCGTTTGGTGATCGCTTAAATGAAAGGCGTACAAACGAAAGGGCTGTGCCACCTAATACTTCAAAGCTGATCGGCGGTATTTGCTTTCTAAAAGCTCGTTCGTTCTATAAAGCCTATCGTTGTTCACTGCTTGCCGGCTTGTGAACCTGTCTTTTCGTTTTGTTGCTGCAGAAGCGAAATCTAAGATATGGCCACGTATACTGATGGCACACCGGTGCCAGAGGATGGCAAATACCATGTTGACCCGGCCAATCCAATGGTCAAGGTTAGATACCTTGAGCCTTGGTATCCTCCTGGTGTGACAGAGTTCTTCTCCGGCGGAAATACTGCACGTCTAGGGCTCCTTCCAGACGGAACTGTGCTCAAATACGTACGCGACAGGGAAGACCGCGTTGCGCTTAACAGTCTCAATGTCGAACACTCTATTCTTTCAGCGCTAGGGCAGCACGACAGAATCGTCAACTACCTGGGCAAACATGAACACGGAATCCTTCTTCAACGGGCCCTCAATGGCGATATCTGTAGCTATATATCGAAACATGAACACGATAACATTTCTCTACAACTTCGGCAAAAGTGGATGACGCAAGCGGCGGAGGCGCTCGCATTCATCCACTCGAAAGGCGTTATCCACTGCGACATCCACCCAAACAATTTCCTCCTGGACGAACAGCTTAACGTCCAACTCTGCGATTTTGCTGGATCGTTATTCGGAAGCTTAGACGGCGGAGCTATGGAAAGCACACGGTTCTTCCTCCCAAGAGACTGGCGGGACCCTCCTAATATAAAGACTGACCTTTTTGCGTTTGGTTCGGTTATGTACTATATCATGACTAGCCGCGAGCCATATGTGGACCTGTCAGATGATGAGGCTACGGCAAAATTTGAACGGAAGGAATTTCCGCATGTCGAGGGATTCAAATGCGGGAGTGTGATCAAGGGCTGCTGGACAGGAGACTTCAGGGATGCAGAAGATGTGCTGAAAGCTATCCTGGAGGAGAGTCTTGCGGAGAACTAGACCTTTCCGCACCGCTAGGGACGGGAGCTTTTATTACACTAACCCGGATGGAAGCACTATTGGAATGACGGAAAGTCGAGATTGAACCGGTCAAACAAATGATTCTGTATCACTATGAATAGCTTAAAGAAAGAACTTACAGTCTCTTCACCGCCATTCTAAGTGCTCTTCAAACCTCATCCCACCATTTTCTTGATAACGGGCGCTCCCCACAAGTCGCACTTGCTGTCCTCCCTCATCCCAAAGCATATGCACCAGCCCCCGCTCGTGTCACAGATGCTGTGCCTTGTTTCCTTATTGTCGGTAGTCGTCTCATATGATGGGTTGGCGTTTCGGACGGTAAGACGGGCGGGACGTTGAAGGAACTGTTTCAGCAGGCGCATGCTCTCACTTTCGCTTTCGCTTCGAGGAGAGAGGGATTGGTCGGCGATGAAGGCTCTTGGGGAGACACAAGGTAGGGGGATGGGCGAAGGGGATGGCGTTGTCATTGCTGTCGTAGTCGGGCTGCGAGAAGTGGACGCGGAGAGTCGTGGGGATAGAGCGCTGGCGGCGGTGCGGGCATGAGCAAAGGGCTTCTCGTCGGTCGGCGGGGGCGTCAACGGCGGGTCTGTGAAGCTAGAAGGCGGTGTGATATTCTGATGCGCTGTTAGAGGAGTTTGCGACATAAACATAGCGATGAGTTATGCCCCATAGCGAAGGTAGCTTGATTGCCGTTGCGCAGACTGGTCGCGGATTCACAAGCTGTGCGCGCTGGTTGACTCAGCAACAGCGCCACATATCCGCCAGGGCGTATGACGTACATGTGGCTGGTGCTGCGCTGAGGGCAAGCCCTCAAACCCAAGCCAATACAAATCGCCGCCGAGCGCCTACAGATGAGTCACTCCAGGACATCATGTTAGCCCGCTGTCAAAGATTCCGATCGTGCTAGCCGTTCTGGTAGGGCTCAGGGTTGCATCTTGAGGAACGAACGACCGAGAGGGACCTTACAGGAATACCGAAAACGATGAGGTCTATGATACGTAAACAGAACGTTTTTGTTCGGTGGTCGGTGAAAGGCTCGACAACCTCTTGCCCTTCGCAAACCCTCCCATCTGCCTACACCTTCCCATCCAGATCTCCGCCATGTCTACCATAACGCAGGAGCCCGAGCGGGAGTCACCAACAAGGATGACCCGTCGCCCGACAGCGGAGAAACCCAAAGGTTGGGAAGGGCGCAACTGTTGATAGAGCATACAGATCGTGTCATTCGGGCATCGCCACAAGGCGAACCATCGTGCTTGCTGTGGAGGAACCCTAAAGGCTGGGAAGAACACGACGGGAAACTCGTGCGAGGAATTATTTCGTGAGAACCTCTTCGTGCGCACCCCTCTATCGTGCGAATCACTTCGTGCGACTCTTTAGCACGTACGAAATTATCCTGCGCAGTGCGCACTTAACACGCTGCTCTCCTATACTCTCTCGTTGCTAAATGTGAGGAATCATGCCACGCCAGACGCCCAACCCTCAGACAATCTTTCACCTCGTACCGGCCAAGAAATCGGATAAGGCTCGCGAGATTCTCACAGTCCAGGTCCGCGTACCAGATGTCGCGACCAGAGATGCTCTATACAAAGCCAAGCAGGAGCCGCAAGGTCTCCGCAGCACTATTGAGAGGGTACTCAAGTCGATCCAGAATTCCAGATCGACACCCGCGTTGAAGCAGTCAACCTCAATCCCTCTGGCACGCTTCACATCTTCGTGCGCACGCCCAGAGGACCGCGAGGCCACCATCAGACAAGCTCTTCCGACTCTTCGAGATACCCAATGAATGCCGACTCCAGCCCGCGAAACAGTAGAAACAGATTAACCTGAAGGAAAAATCAATGATGTAACAGCCAAAGAAACTCAACGCCGTCAAAACTTAGGAAGTTTCCGAGTAGAAGAAAAGACAAGCGATAGAAGTATGTAAGAGCAAACGATACATATCAAGTGAACAGCTGCAACCCCAAAGATTCTCCTCGCCGTTCAATTTCGGCCAACACCTTTGGATGGATATCTCGTTGAGGGTCGTTGCGGTTCGCTGGAAGTTTGCGTGGCGCATACTTGTAGTTGGCCCTTCTTAGATCGACGGCTGCTGGTCTCTTAACTCTGGGCTTTGGAGCTTTCGACCTTGGATCAGGTTCGCGCTGTTCTGAGGCTTGTGGTTGCGCCAACATGCTTGCAGGGTCCGGCATTGGCCCGACCTGATTTCGTGGAGTGCTCAATCCCTGGCCGTCGAAGCATTTGACGAGCATCTGAGCCGCAGACGAGCGCGTCTCCGGGTTTTCCTGAGCCATTGGGCTAAGAGCTGCGTGTTGAGCCGCTGCGGCTCTAACACGAGGTAACACCTCTCCGTAGTCGGCCAACGTCGGGTCATGGAGCCCTCCCGCCTGCGTCACGACACCGATTACGACAAAGAGGGACCAGACATCCATTTTGGGAGACTGACGGCGCGTTTGGTACATCGCCTCAGGAGCCATGTAAAGCGGCGAGCCACAGAAGGTATTCGCAAGCCGTTGCTGATTGGCAAGACCAAAATCAGCTAACTGAAAAACGTAACCCTCGTTGCCGGATGGCGTGTACAGAATATTTTCGGGCTTGACATCCCGATGACACCAGCCTCGGAAGGCCAGGTAATCCAGCGCCTCGAGCATCTCATGTAGGAGCCGCGTAAGGATCTTTTCATCATAACCTATGTTCGGAGATTTCTCGAGCAAATCGCACACGTTTCCGGCCTTGAGGCTCATGTAGACATGTACAGTCCCGGTATCCCAGCCTGTCGAGCCTAAGTATTCGACGATGTTTTTCTGCACGCATGGTCAGAGTCCAACATCAAAGAGAACGTGTGCATGGACATACGTGAGAAATACTGGAGAGTATTTTGACTTCGCGCCGCAACGTGTCCTCTTCGTGAGACGGGAAAGGGCCAACTTTAGGCGGCAGTTTCATTTTCTTGACCGCGATGAAGCACCCCGAATCGAGATCGACGGCCTTACGCACTTCGCCGAACGCTCCTTTCCCTAAAAACTCGCCCTCGGTCGTCCGCAGGACCGCCCCAACGGTCGGCGTGTGGAGACGGGTATTGTACCACGAGGGAAGCTCAGTGGGCCCTTCCTCGATGGTTCGAGCATAGCGAGGATTCTGCGCCGATGCCTCAGCCCTCTGATATTCCTTCTCGGTCTCTTGTAACACGTCCGCTGACTTCTCGGGCCACACTAAGTCGAAGATATACTGGTTCAGTTGCTCGCCGCCAGCACTAATGCAATATTTAGTGCCTGGCTGTAAGACGACCTGGCGGAAATCTCCATCGTTCCTGAAGCCGACTGGAAGGATCTTCGTATTGCGAAGTCGGGATCGGTCGCACAACATGATTTGGCGGGATTCCGGATGGAATTCGAAGGAAAAGTGGACCTGGGAGATGCTCTTTCCGGGCAAGATGAGATCGGCATCCCGTCCGACTTCCGTGATCACCTGGGGAACAGTTCTCTTGCGGACGTGGTAGCCGATTTCAAGACCATATTGGTCTTCGGCTTCGTCTCCTTTGGCTTCTGGGCAGAGTGATACGAAGGACTCGTTATCCCGAAGGAGAAGAATCTCGCGAGCCTTGACCGATTTCTTGGCCGGCACGAGGTGAAAGATGGTCTGAGGATCAGGCGTCTGGCGTGGCATGATTCCTCACATTTAGCAACGAGAGAGTATAGGAGAGCAGCGTGTGCAAACGGGACTCTTGGAAGCCTTGAATTGGGAAGCAGTCCGAGGAGATGAAGAGTGCGCAGGAAAACATTAGCCGGCAGCGAAGGATATACCTGAACACCACATCAAAAAAGTGTCGAGGAAACACCCGTCCACATGCTGTCGATTGGACGACAGCGCCCCTCAACTCAACATGCAGCAGACCAAGCTAGACAAGAAACGTGAGGCGGGCGCTTGGAGGGCGAATTGCTGCCTAGCGAGAGCGGGGGCCGGAAATAACGCGACACGTGCCGCTCCCACGCCACCCAAAACATCGCTCTTTTCCTTTTGGCTCACCCTTTCCGCACTTCAAGCCTTCTTTCCAGCATCACACGACGATGCATTCCGTCCGCGATATCAACCACGCTCGGCTGAACGCGATTATGCCGACCCTCCAGCGAATGGAGGATGATCCAGCGTTCCTCGAAGGCCGGAGGCATCGCTTCGACGCCGACGATCCACCTCCGCCATATTCATCGGGCGGCAGCACGGAACTGCCCACTCCTGACCCATTCCCACGCGTCGCAAACGCCGACGTCGATGTGGACGAGCTCCTTCGCAAGCCGTTGAATGACAGCGAGATTCGCATGTTCGGATGGGAAGCGGCGCACTATCGTCCACACCATCGGTACAACGACGAATTCCGGCAAGAGAAGACTCGGATCGGTGAAGAATGGGGCAGACGGGATGCGAACTACAAACCGCTCTACCGTGGACCCGATCTGATCGGGCGTCCTGGGCAACAACGGCTGGACGTCATGATCAGACACAGCATCAAGAAGCGATGGGAACGCTTGGGGGTGTGGAATCCGGAATGGGGGATCCCAGCCCGCGTACACTCTGGACCCAAAGATAATGAAACCCGTTGGAAGTGGAAGTGGGACCGCGAACAGTCGTACGTGGACCGGGAATACAATCGTCAACCATACGAGGTACGGAGGATCAGGTGGCCTTCGCGAGATGAGGAGGCCCCGTTTGAGCGCGCGGTTCGACTGCACCTCGAGAGACAAGGCGGCTGGAACGAGGCGATTGTCCTGCAACCTTCGGACGCTGACCATCCAACCGACGTCCATGTGGATAACCGGGAGTTTTTCATCACGAGTCGGCCGTGGTACGTATGGCAACTTGAGGTCGCGGAGGAAGAGGTGAGACTGACACGCGATCCGGACCCCGATAACTATTTTCGGGCACGGGAGAATGTAACCACACGATGGAAAGACAAGGGGGACTGGAAAGAGAGCTGGGGTGACTTGCCCGGGTGGAAATGGAGACACGAATCCCCTTCACCGGAGCCTGCGGACCCGAACGATATGGACTTCACCCCGTCCGAGATCGATGCGATGGAGGAGATACCGCCTCGAACACCACCACCGAAGCCATCGTCCCGTGAACGCCGGGGTCCGACTTGGAGCAAAATTTTCGGGTTTCTCCCTGGCTACGACCCCGATCCAGCACCGCCTGCATCTACTCAACCGACCCAAACGCCTCACGTAGAGGGCGATGACGATCACGCGAGCAACAGATCAAATGCTACAGCCGAACCCGTTGACAACGTGCAACAGCAACCGCGGAACGAAGATACCGATACAACTCCTCGCACGAAACATGAGGAATCCCCCTCCCCTGTAGGAGCACGGGATCGGGTGACCGCACGGCAAATGACACGTTCGACCCGTCATTCGATTCGTTCAGGGCTGCGCAGCGAAAAGTCTTCGGCCACTCGCAGGGCCAGGCCTGGCAAGGACGTATCTCGGGCCTTGACTCGGTCTTCCAAGATCTCCAAACCGACTCTACCTACCCGGCGCAGCGCTCGGATCGCAGAAAGAGAACGACAGTCCAAAGGCGCCGCGACCCTCTCTGAAACCGTGAAGGCTATAAACGGAGAGGATCCAGCATCGCAACCGTTGAAGCGGCCGAGTCGGCAGAAGCAAAGGACTTTGCCGAAGGTGACAAGAAGGAAAAGGGACCCTCCCAAGGAGAGACATCCACCAGCATCATCGAAACCGCAAGGAGTCACAAAGCGAAGGGCCCATTCTCATTCAAGACGATTGAATGCTTGAAAGGGCAAGAGAATACACGCATGTGGGCGCGGACGAACAAGTGGACTGGAATGCATTCACGGAGAGTGGGAGGACGCTCCAGACACCCTGCGAATGCCCGGATATTTTTAGGTCCCGCATATTCGCACTACCGTTGAGCCTTCCAGGCGAGTGCCAGTGAGGAGGCGTGGACTTGGTAACCAGTGGCGCCGCCTTGTGCCAAACCACCTCGTCCAATTCATCCAGAATCGCTCTCAGAAGCGGGGGACTCGTGAGTCGACCGCGGCAGAGAATCTTGCGGGACCCGCCGAAGAATGTACGGTGGCCGGTACTGGAGTGGAGGGGAGTAGACGACATGCTGGAAGTTTCTATAGTGCCAATACAAGATCAAGGACTAGAACCTTGCATTCTATACGTCAGAGGACTTCGTCAGAGGCAATGATGCTCACCGTCAACCTTGATCTGGTGAAACGATTCGGCAATCTGCGATCGGGCAAGATTTGATTATGCCTGATTTCTAGGACTCTGACACTTCACATTCGACACACCACACAAGCGTTCTATAACAATTCCTCATCATCACTCTGCCAAGGTATCCCAAGTTCCGGCGGTCTCAGCCAAACCCTTCACAATATGCTACCTCTCTTTTCTACCACAGAATGTTCCCTCTTCCAAGCTTGGTCCTTCTAGCTAGCTCTCTTGACTGACCGTCCTGTGATGTGTGAGCTCCTATACAAGTGACTTTGGCCAAGCGCAACAGCATTACTCCAGCTGCATCGGCCCCAAGTTCGCACACTCGCTTTAGAAGGCTTGGAAATCGTGCCACTGCTCGGTATCTAGGTGAGGATATATCAACTCATCTGAATATTGAACCATAGTTTTTGCATTTACTATTCACCCCAAACATACCGGTTTGGAACCAACAGAGAGGGTGTTGAGCCGTCAGGATGATGAGGGCGACGAAATGCAGGATCTGGGTTCTCGTTCGTCGTGACGAACGGACGGAAACCGGCGGTTCGAGTCTAGTGCCAGTGGATGGATGCGAAAGACTCCCACTTCTCCTGTTGATCCGCATACTCTGTCAAATTCATCATAAATCTATCTACCAAAACCAGCCCTCCCCAGCCAACATTCAAGGGGCTAATTGACCCTTCCTCGTAATAGAGGCATATCTAGGTAGACACTTGTGGTCTTGTGCCATATCCGCAAGAACTTTCAGAATCTCGTGGTGATTAGCAGGTCCATTATCTACAATCTAAACGCATATGATCATCGCCACTGCCCCTCCACCATCGTCCCCTGAGTTGATAGATATGATTGTCGCACCATGACGGCATGGTAGGGCTGCTGGGGGTATGGCGGCATTGCCTGGTGGGATGCAAGCTTGTCATCCGGATGATGAGGTCTGGCCTTGAAGTATCGTCCTCGCAACTCGGGACGAGGTTGCGTGTACGCGAGAGTAGTGTCCTGAGGAGGATGAGCCAGCCCCCCTGACTTGGCATCTTCAAGGGTGTAATAGCAGATGACGTGGTGGGTGTAGTTCCCACCATGAAACTGATCGTCTTCTTCACCAGTCCTCCAGGCTTGAAGTCGTACGAATCCGTCAGGAACCGATGTACGGCCTGTCTTCATTTCTGGACGCCCTAGAAATCGCGTCGGCAAATGCACCGTTCAAGTTCCTTTCTCGTCCCTCTCTCGAGTTCGTCATGCCGAAACGCTTGACCGTCCTTCTCCTCGATCCCTGCTGAACGGTGTCGTTCAGCTCCCGATACACGAAGAAGTTATCATTGATCCGGCTGGGACTCCAAGTCAGGCCGTCCGTCCATCTCTTGATGCCTGACGCGAGTGCCTCGTACACAAACACGGATCCGCTCTTGATGACGTGCTTTCATTCTCGTTCATAAGGTCGTCGTGGACATTGGATCAAGGTTCCGTCGAGACAGGCTTCAACAACCATTGCTGCATCCCGGGCGGTATGCACGAACCCATACCATGTGGGCTCCAGAGCATTTTCACCATCGAAAGGAAGGAGTGAGCCGCTGCTCAGTAATAGTTGAGGCGACGGATTGCTTAGTGGGTGTTGACTTGCAGCGGCTGGTTGAGACCATACGGCAGTCCCACATAGAATGGCTCGGCGAGTTGATATCCAGTTGCCGTATCGAGCTCGGATTGCCGACACTGATAGAGTTGGTCGTGATTGTAACCATACGCTCCTTGCGGATACGTGGAAGTCGATGTATATCTGGGCACAGGGACACTACGTACCGCCAATAGAGAACCAAGGACATGACTGATATAGATCGGTTTCTGATCCCATTGCTCTATGCGTGGCTGATTGACAGGCTCGTTGGTCGACTGCGAGAAAGTCCGGCAAGGGGTTGAGGTTGGTGGGAAGATGGACGCAGAAGCGTGGTTGTTCAATGGAATGTCCAGGAGCATTGCTTTTATCTCCAACCGCCGGGACTGCATCGATCCGATGAGGATTGCAGGTTTATGATCACTGCAGATACATCCATACCCGCCAAGATTGAAGTCCCACAACGTACCATCATTGTTGGTCGGTTGTGGGTTCCTCTCCCAGAGAGAAATCCACACGGCCAGCGTCGGTGGTTTGGAGACAGGCCTCTCGAGGTATGTCACTGGTACTGTGTGACTCTGCAAGCCATGTTCCCGACGTTTTTGTGTCACACGGCAGACACCCTCACAGCGAGGGGCAAGCTTATGACCCGGACGGTGAAGAAAGAAAGCTGGAATGGATGAATTCCATGGTTTCCACCGGAGTGACGGAGAAATCCCACGAGAGAGATGGAACCGACTCAGTACCATATCGCCACACCTCGCGGTTACAGAAAAAACTTGATGAAGTTCCAGTGCAACCTGGCATGACCGGGCGTCCTCATTCCCAGCATGCCAAGAGCTGTACGTGGCCTTTCAATATTTGCGGTCCGCAGGCCGTCGGGGAAGCACATCATGACTCCACTCTCTTCGGAAAGCAAGAAGCAATGTTGTGAGTCGTCATTCTACGTAAGGACATTAATACAGGACTGAACCGCCGGCGAGGGAAGAGAAGGAAAGGGGGGAGGCTCCTGGGTTGGGACGCCTTCGTCAGGTCGATCGGTTCAAGACATGAGGTGTTCTCTCGTCATTCGATGAAGAGGAGATCGCGGCTAATGGCGACGAATAGTCGAGAGAGAGATTGTCTGTGAAAGAATTGACAGATCAGAGATGCTAGAGGTGCAAGCTGTAGGTATGGCTGGGAGTCCCGCCGACTATCGCGTAAATGAGGGGTGGCGGGTTCCCACGCAGGTTTCGCAGGGCGGCTGCGTAGATTCACCCAGCGCGAGCCGACGTTCACAGTCAACTTCCTGAGTCACTTCAGGCGCCTAACTCTCATGGCGGATTTCTGTATCCATTTTTATCCAGTCTTGCGTCAAGATGATTCCAAAAAAAGCTCAGAACTGAAAATAGATGTGGTGCCGAAGTCAAGTGCAGTCAGACCACAGGGTACCAAAACCAGTCCCCAGGAACTGGACCAAAAATGGTCCCCGGGGTCTGAAAATGGTCACCTCTGTCCCAAAGTTATCACGAGACAGGAATAGAATGTTATCATAACAAAAGCCCGAAGTGGCCTCAATCTCAATCGTACCCGGTGGTTTCAACGGTCCTGTTTTGATATCTGAGGTCGGAACTGAACTCACGTCGTAGGAACCTGCAGAGCATGGCATCGAAGAGGACCTCGTCGAAACGAGTCGCAAATGAAAACTGTCGGGAAATAGGCAGCAGATGTCTCAAGTCGTGTAACTAGCATGTGTCTGACTCACATGAGTGACTCACCCTTGCGACTTATAACGGCAGCCGCCTCCCCCTTGAGAAGGGGGACAGACAGAATATTGAACAACAGCCTTTGTGTTTACTATTCACTTCACACGAACCGGTTTTAAACCAGCAAAAACCGTCGAAAGAAAAGGAGGACGGTCCAACGGAAGGTCCATGAACTATGGCGTTCTGGAATTGACGTCTTCCTCCTCTCCCTCGATGCTGACATGTACTGACCTCTCGAAAGGAAAGGCTCTATCCACCGGCAATCATCATGACGCCGGCACATTTCAATGGAGGGAGAATGAAGCAGACTAGTGGAGGGAGGGATGATTGCATTCCAGATGGACAGACAGAAGATACGTAGAATAGCACTCAAACAAACCGACAGCGAGGGATGCAATCCTTGAAATAAGAATCGTAATATCGGGTAGAGGTACGTCGTCCCCAGAATCTGTCAATTAAAGGAAAGGAATGGAGACCGCATCTGGTGGCAAAGATGATCAAGGCAGCGGGATTGACGAACAGGAAAGTGATTGGAGACGCATGGATGAGCGGCTCGAAATGTTGGAGGCTACGGTTGAAAGACTCAAGTGATCATGTTTTGCTAGGTACCCAATGTGGCAGAACGTAGTAAAACACCTCGTAGTGGAATACTTCGTAAGTTAGTGGAACAGCTCATAGTAAAACGAATTGTAGTGGAATATCCCGTAGTAGAGCAGCTCGTAGTGGAACGAGTTGTAGTGGAAGACCTCGTAGCGGAATACCTCGTAGTGGAACGGTTCGTAGTGCTACGAATGGACCCAAAAGTGGTCCAGTGGGTCACACGAAGAGTTTCCTAAGAGGTGTTCAATTGCACCGGCATACGCCCCTATGGCATATCCCCTCAGTGTGTGTCCCTCCGGCATATGCCCTTCCGGCTATGCCCTTCCGGCATACACCCCTACGGCACATACCACTCCATGTCTTTAAGGGGCCAAATGTGTCCTCTGATTCACAATCACATGCTCTGACGCAGGTACAAGTACCTCATAGATGTTGACTGAAAGCGAGGAGGAAGATGAAATATGTAACAAACGTGAGATGTAGCTACCCATCCGACGTAGCTACGAAACAACAGAGAGATTGATACTTAGTCCATAAGACCCCGCGTATACCCAAGTAGCCTAGGCAGGATCAATATTACGGAGCGGATGTGTCAATCTCTAAGACCGCCCCTACGGCATCTACTACTTCCTCGAACCCCCTGCCATCATTGAACTGACGCGATGGCGGCGATGTGCTGAGCCGAACAGATAGCAACACCCTGCTCCCTTACTCACGATGCATCGTGGAAGCACCTGGCAACCATCTCAAAGGAGTGGGAAGGCCAAGCAAAGATAGCGCTCGGAGAGATGATATGGAGTTGGTCATCCTACGAAACGCTGCAGATGCATCTTATGTTCGAGGGTCATCCGACAGACGTTGCAGTCGACCTTCTGGCGGGGCTTGAGAGCGCCAAGGTGCTTGCGCTTGAAATGCTTGCTGAGGTCACCGGGGGTATAGAATGAATAGATGCGATCCTTCACCGGGAGTTCTTGGTTCCCGAGACAGAGGAAACAGACCTTGGGGCGCTTCTCCCGGTAGACAGAGACCATGGCGGCCTCCAACGCTTGCTCCAGTGGATCCGATTCCTCCCGCTTGACGGCCGTTGCCTGACCGTGAGAGGACGCCGAACGCCGGATGACCCTCCCTTCCTCGACGGCGCAGTAGGCTGCGACCGCGTCGATCGCCGCGTTCCGTCGGCGGTATTCCTCGTCGAGCGTTTTCCCCGGAAGTGTCAGGACGGCCTGGATCAAGCGGTCATGTTCCGGGGTCCTCTTCCGCGTCTCGAGCTTCGATTCCACGACCTCCTCGATCTTCACGCCGGATAACTGCAGCTTGATGTCCCGAACGGCCTGCTCTTGATCCCAGCGGCTCCGAATGTCGGCTAGGAGCGCGGTTCGCAGTCGTTGCCGTTCGTTATTTATCCGGCGGGTCAGCCGGTCACACGCCTCCCAAGCCGCGCCGGAGCGACGTCGACCATGTCGGCGGCGGAGTCGAGTGCGATTCTCCATCCAGCGCCGGATGTTCTCATTGTCGTTCACTGATCGGGATTGATCGGGCGTGAGCTTCCACGGCCGCCGTGGATCAATCCATCGACTCATCCGACACACCGCGCGCATCAGGTCGTCTTGCGGCTCCATGCCCCGGACGACGGCCTGGAGATCCGCCGTGACTCGTCTCGACAGGTAGTGCTTGAGGAACGTCCGTGCGTCGGCGTGGATCATGATCAGGTTTCGTAGCTCGTCGCTAACATGTTCTGTTTTCCGATTAGCGCGTTTGATTGCAGACCATGGCTCTCCCCGAACGTACTACTATCGTCAAACGCTTTCCCAGCCCCGTATCGGAGACCGTACGGGCGTGCAACCTGTTTGAACCCAGTGATCTCACCCAGTCGCCTCATCCATGACCGGATCGTCGAGCTGCAGAGTGGTTTCGTCGAGATGCCGAACCCGGACGGGGTGGACTCCGTTTGGCGGAAGAGATGGACGTCATCCAATCTGGGATCGAGAGGCACCGGCATCGAGTTACACCCGGGCGGGACCTCGAGCTGGCTCAAGTGCCCGGCGCTAGTGAGATTCGGTTCCAGGAAGGCTCCGTCGTGGAGAAGGAGGCCGAGGAGGAAGGCGTGAGGACTGAGGAGGAGAGAGGGATCGTAGATGATATCGGGGATCGCTCATCAGTCCGCATCACGAAGGAGGGGTCCGCGAAGGGGCCATACGTCTCCTTCATCCCAAGAAACTGCTTGGTAAACTCGTAGGAGAATTCCAGGACGGTTCGGGTGGGTCCGCCCTGAGGGTCGCGGACGCGGGTGACGACGATGTGTCGATAGCGGATCTCTAGGATCGCCTGCGGCCGATTTGCAGTGATGAATCCCATCTGAAGAAACAGACAGGTGGCCACCCGCTGCCGGCCAAGCGTGAACGTGATATCGATGCTGACGAGGGCCGTCTGTGCCACGTTCGCAACATCCGTGGCGTCCATCGGGGCCTTCTCCCGCTTCTGGGTGCTCAGTTTATGTTTCTTCGCAAGCTCACGCAGAACCTGGCCATGTCAGCACCCACCGGTCAGGAACGGGGCAGAAGGGACTCTCACCTTATGCATCTGGCGGGTGGTCTTCTCATCGATCTTCTCTCCCGTCGCCCGCTCGTAAACGAGCCGAAAGTTCTTCCAATACAGGTTCAGGGAGGCGGCATACTTCGTTCGTCGGAGACGCCTTCCATTCTCATCTCGACGACGCCCCAGCTTCCAGTCAAGGAAACTTTTGAGGGCGCCAAGGTCGACGCACTTGAAGTTCGGGTCCCTTCCCACATAGGCGCGATATCTGCACGGCGTGAGTCCATCACTTCGACGGGAATTCTGACACGGTGTTATGGCATTCGCGCCAGATAAGGTGAGATGCTTACAGATACCAATGGCGCTTAATCGCATCCAAATGCTTCGTCGTACTCTCCGCATAGTCGGTCTGTATGATATCGGAACCCTGGACCGCGTCCTCAACGCCACGGTAGTACTCTGGAGAGTGATCCTGGTCCTCCTCGTCACTGAAGTAGTCGTCGAAATCGGTCAGGTCCGTCTCCGACCCAACATCTTCATCGGAGCTCTATTTAATCTAGATTTAGTAGTATTAAAGCTTAAAGTTTAATTACGTATACTAATACTCTCTACTAATAATACTACTACCTAGAAGTATAAAATATCTAGTAATTCTACTAAATTAAAGTTATAATTAACTCTAATTTAATAAAAGATTATGTAGTACCTTAATTTATTACTAACTTATATTATTAAGTTACTTAATTAGCTTAAGAAAGGTAATAAGATAATAGCGTATTAGCTAGTACTTATAGAGTCTAAAGTTACCTAGCTTTAAGTAGCTAACGTATAGAAAAAAAAGCGTAATTTACGTAAAAGAAAGTAGATTTAGAAAGAGATTACTTTTATAATTAAAGCTAGCTTATAGCTAGTTACTTAAAGAAAAACTATAGATTAGAATAAGAGTAAAAAGTAGCGTAAAGAGGTAGTAGTATATAATAGCTAGCTAGCTTAGTAATACTATAGACGCTATAGTAAGCTAGAGTATAATATATAAACGTACTAGATAGTTAAAGATAATATAGATAAGTTAGATAGCTTATCTAGATTTATTTTAAGTAGCTTAGAGTTAAAGAAATCTAAATAAAATAGTAGCTTTTTAGTAGAGACTTAGTATTTTTAGATTATTTAATAGAGTAACTAGTTTAATAGTAAAGTATATTATATATATAAGCTATCTTAGCTAGATCTAGTACTAAGACTTCTAGCTCTTATAAATTCTATAGATTAGAGTTAGATTTACTAGATTACGCCTCTAATTTATCTAATCTACATTACGTGACCCTAATTATTCCCGTAATTCTCACGTGATCCCATGTGATCGCTCGTCCCGTGATCCCGGGCTTGGCTTGCCGTGTCCTCCGGCCTGGCCAGTCAATCTCTGTTTCCGATCCTGTGATCGTAACATAATGTTTCTTTTAGAACTAAATTGTGAGCATGTTTCCGTCTTCTAGACATTAATTCAAGAAGCTAATTTGTGGTTCTTTGTTGACAGTGTTAACCGGCACGAGGTTGCAGAAGTGAACGATGCGCTTAGAATAAATGAGTAGGCGAGGACGTTTCTATTTAAAGGAGAATGCAAAGATAAACCCTCCAGTCAGCTCGACATCGGCCACCCTCGAACTTCTTGCTCAACTGCGTAGCGCCCAAGCAAGCCTCTGCAGGCTAATCGATCCATTTAGTAACATCCATCCTGTTCGATAGTCCCACTCCTTTCTCGTCGATTGTAGATAGTGAGGGTACTGCCGCCTGCGTCACAAACACTGGATACCCGTTACTGCTTATGCGGCTACGCTGGATTCGCAGTTGGTGTGGGATATCTGACGCAAGAGATACAGCCGAGCCCGACGTGAATGGTGAGTGCAAGTCGTTACTTCGTCTTTGTCTTCTTGGAGTTGCCGGACCCAGCGTTGATCGTGGTGTCCGGAGTGATTGGCCGGAGGCTTGGTCGGCTATTCGGTATTATTCCTTCATCGACGAAGCTGTAATCTTCAAGTTGTTGGGATAGTCCTGAGCGTGAAGAGGCCAGGTCCTGCTCGGAGACATCGGAGTTCAAATCAGCCGGTAGCATGTCGATGACGGAGCATATTCTTTCAAAGTGCTTGGGAAGCCACAAGTCGTAAACATTTCTGACGAACTTGTAGGCTTTCCACCTCTGATCCCCTTCCCCGGATGGCGCGAAAATAAACTTCGAGATTAAATGCCGGTAAAACTTGACATCTTTTCCATCAATTACGACGTAGTGGCCCCAGATTCTCACATCCTCGTCGTTATGAGATATCGAAAAGCTATTAATCTCCCGATGCAGTTCATTCTCTTGGTCAACCAGCTGGAAAAGTAAGTGCAGACCGCGTAAGATGACAGACTGAGTGTAAGCATTCTGTCGATCAGCAACATCAAGTTCGCGGTCTCCGCACTTTACCTCGCTGGTAAGAAATGGAAAATACATTTGATACGTGGCTGCAAAGAAGGAGGAATCGGCAAGGAGGTCGCCGAGAAATGGTTGAAGCTTTCGCAGCTGTTCGGGATTAAAAGCATCTCTATCGAACCCAAGTCCAAAATCTGGCTGCGGTCGAGGTCCGGAACGAGAACGAGACCCAGGAGGATTGATGAAAGGGATGGAATTGGTCCAGCATGCGTTGGTAGTCTCTCGGAGAATGGCGAGGTGTGTGGCCCCCTTGTCAGCGAGTATCTCAGCTGACGGCACAATGAGCTGCGAAATATCGCGGACCACTTTTGTCTCGTTCTCGCCCTTGATCCTTTTACACGTCTTCTTGAACAGTTCATCATCGGAGAAAAGAGTATGTTGAGGAGCTGGCTGTAGTTCTTTCAGGAGCTGCTGGCAAAGTTTTTCGCTTTCCGGTGTAATGCCGAGTTCGTGATCATCCATAAAGCTGCCGCACTCTTTGAGTTGACGTTGAAACAGTGGATGCCTATACGGAGCACACTTCTGATCCCGCGACATGCTGCTCGTACTCTGTGTCGGGATTGTTTCCGAGGCTGAGGCGTTTGAGCGTTTACGGCTCAGCGATCGTTTCTTTGCACGCGCATGATCGACAAGCTTGAGAAAACGATCCATTGTTGCCTCTTGTTCTTCTGTCGGCCAGGCTCCGGTCTCCCTCCAGTAGCCAACCCGAGCCTCACTAATTGTCTTGCACTTGAGCGGTTCGTTAACTGATGTTTGTACTCGTTTTAGAAACGGCTCGGGCGAAGGGCGGGGGAGTGAAACTTCGTCTTCTCGAGGTCGCTCTCGAGGTCGCTTTCGAGTCTTCACGTGCTGAACGGAGTCGGGCGTTGTCTGGATAGGATCGGCACCTTGGAGGCGTAGGGTTCTGCGTCTTTGCGCAGGAGAGGTGGAAGGTAGTTGGACAGGCCGGGGCTGGGGAGAGAGTTCTTTGGGCTCTTCTAAAGGGCGCACACCTTCTGGCTCGTCGGCTTCAGCATTAGAGCCTTCTTCCAAGTTCTCAGAGAACTCGTGTCGGGAGGAAGGGAGTCTTCGGAGCTGTTTTGCGGGGCACACACCTTTTGGCTTGTCGGCTTCGGCTTCAGAGTCTTCTTGCGGGCGCTTCCATTTGGTGCGGGCCGGCCGAGAAGTACCAGCGCGCCGGGTGGACTTCATGATGGGGTTCTTCTTTCGAGGTCCAGCTGTGGGTTGGCGCCTGTGGTTGGGTCGCGGAGTCATAGGCATGGAGAGAGAGAAGCGTAACGCGCAGTGCAGCGCTGGACATATGATGACGGGATCGAAGGATGGATGCAGGAGTTGTTGGCGCGAAGTTGGCGCTCCAGGCTTGGCGCTGGCGAGGGGCAGGTGATCCCCAAGAGGTTAGTGCACGCCTTATATAATAATTACAGCGTAACTAATCAAGGTCACGAGGATAAGCAAGCCAAGCTTGTAGCGAGTGATTTCGAGTCCGCACGCACAGGCTGCAGCCACCACTACGCTTACGGCTATCAACGATGCACTGCAGCCCTGGCACGCCCGGACCAGGCACTCTGTGTGCCAGCAAGTGGCAGCTATCGAGACCTGCCACGGGTTCTTGATGCCCAGGACCGAAACCACCCCAGAAATTGTCCTCCTTGCGATGCGAAATCACCTCCAAGTTCCTAGGGCTCGCAATAAGCATACCACTAAGAATGGCGTGGACGGTGCTGGGTGCGGGAGCTAAGCTTTAAGGGATGTCTCTCAGCGCTCTGCTCACGACATTGTACGCTTACGTCTTACAACCCTTACTAGCTAGCATTGCACCCCTTAGCTCTCTTTAGTTCTTCTTTGAATCTACTACGTCTGCCTAGCCCTACTCTTAAATAAGTTTTCTAACATTCTGCTACAATACCTACTCTAGATAATATAGCTGCACTAGCTGCTAACTATTAACTAAAGCGAGTTATGCTAAGACTCCGCGTTAATAACAAAGAATTCTAGAGGTAATCTAACTTTAATAATATAATTAAGGTATAATATACTTTATAGGCGAAAGACTCTATATAGGCGAACTCTCTACAATTTCTTAGTATAATAGTCTAGTTTAGAGATTTATCTTAAGTTATATAACCTTAGGTTACGTAATCTTATTACGTAACCTAGCCTAGCGTCTTAGCGCTTAGCATCTCTATATATAGAGCCTCTTAAAGCCTTTTCTCTACTTCTTATCTTTAGATAGCTAAATTTAATCTAATCTACTCTACTTATCGCTTTTATTCTTATAGCTTGTAGAGACTATATTACCTATAATTAACTTATCTAGCTAGGTATTCTAGAGCGTACGTATAGTAGTAGAAACTATAAAGCTAGCTCTTATATTATCTAAAGGTTAATACCTCTTTAGCTAAAGATAGTAGTATAATATTAGGCTAAACTAAGTAGTTTTATAAGAAGCGTTTACTAATAGCTATACTAAGAATTAGAGCTATAAGAGCCTAGTTACTTACTCTAAGAATCTATTAACGTATTAATTAATTACTTCTCTCTAGTACTATATAAGACTACTAGTAGATCTAGTAGATAGTAGAAAAGATACTACTAGTAGTAAGCTAAAGAGAGCTATAAGAGCTCTACGTATAAAAGAACTTCTATAGAACTTCTACGTATAGAAACCTCTCTCTATTTTAAAAATTAATAATTCTCTACTCTACTAGTAGAGCTAATAATTAGCTACTACGCTAGTAGTATATACTCTTACTTCTTAAATAAGAAGCTATACCTAAGTTAAACTACTTAAACACTATAGATAAACTCTCGCGAAGTAATTCTAGTAGTAAGACTCTAGTTATATAGTACCTCTTTACTCTAATAATTCTTAAATTCTAGGCTAAGAACCTACTAGCTAGTTACTTAAACTAATATTATTATTATAAATTACTTGTTTAATAATATAATATAATAACTAATAAGAATTAGAATATTAACTTTAAATAGAAGCTAGCACGACTACGCTAGAGCTTAGAGATATCTAGCTTATTAGTAGTAGATAGCTCTTATACTCTCTCTACCTCTAGAAAGAAGCTCTAAGAGCTTTTCTTAGAAAGGCTAAGTAAAATTATTAACAAATTAGTTAGCTAACTACTTATACGCTAGGTACTTAAATAATAAACCTATATATATTACTAGATTACTACTAACGTATTTACTAAAGAAGATACTATATATAGAGAGTATTAGAATTTATAGTAGAAAAAAGCTACTACTTTAGTAAAGATTTAATAGCTATAAGTATAACTATAATTCTACTCTAGAAGCTAAAAGCTACTTACTCTATTAACTTAACGTATAATGTACTTTATAAATTAGACACTACGTATACGTAAAACTAGCGCGTTATTACTAGATAACTTAATTCTAGGTTCTTATCTAACTACGTATACGCCTACTATACTACTAGTAACTAAGTAATATTTAGAAAGCTAAATAAGGCTTTTTACTAAGTTTCTAGACTCTCTATTACTATTAGATAGTAAGGTTATTACCTTTAAGTAATAGAGAGATAGCTTATAAGATAAGCTTTAAGCTAATTATAACTAGTACCTAGAAGAGATAGCTAAGAATACTAAGAAAACTATTATAGTATATATATATATATAGATAGAGAAAGACGCGTACTAAACTCTCTCTATAATTCTATATTCTCTAAGAAATAGTAGTACGTAGATCTTCTATAAATATATACTTAATTAGCTAGAGAGAAGCTACGCGAACCTATATAAAAGGCTAAATATCTATTATAATTTCTAGAAGCTATATTACTAAAATACTACTAACTTCGCGCGCTTTTAGATTAATTTCTTCTACCTAGTATAGAAGCGCTAGCTCTCTATAGACTAATAGGTAGAGAAGCTTTATAAGAAGCTTCTAGTAAACCTACGTATATAGATAGGTATCTACTAATATTAGTATACTTATAATTATAATTAATATATAGATCTTACTTAAAACCTTACTAGAGAGCTTGCCTAAGAAGAAGCTTATATAACTAGAAAGGTTAAAAAACGCGACGTACTTGCGTTAACGCTGCGTTACGCGCCTGCTACTCTACTAGGTATTCTACTAACCTCTAATAAAGCTCTAGTAATTAGAAAGCTAGTTACCTACTTCTAATACTAGTAACCTAGCTATATAAGCTATAATTACCTAAGCGCCTCTACTACGTAGAAAGCTATTAAGAATATTAATTTAGAGAAGAAGCCTATAGAGCCCGCAGAGCTATAAGTATCTAAGAATAACACGTTAGAATATAAATCTAATAACTTAGAAAAAGTCTAGCTCTAGAAGAAGTCTTCTCTCTAGAGCTACCTACTAGAGTAATAAATCTACGCAAAAAGCTATTTAGTAGTTTTACGTTTACTCTACTTTACTAAATATCTATAAATAGTCTTATAATTAAGCTTAGAGGTTTAATTAATACTAGAGCGAGTAGCTACATTCTAGTACACCTAAAGCACCTTTAGACTCTTAGAAAAAACCTCTATGTTAAGCTAGCGCGTATAGAACCTATCTCTTTTACTAGATATAATAGATAACCTAATAGCTAGATAGATAAATACTTTAAAGCTAATTTAGTACTAGAAAGCTAC